AAGTAGTTACTCATATATTCAAACCAATTTTCTTGCAAAATCCCTTAGTTTTGCTGTAACATTCCTGAGCCTGCTTCCTACTTGTATCAAGCTGACTGTCCAGCCATCCCTACGAGGATTTAAATTAGCACTGGTAAGTGCATGTTTTTAATTGCTCCTTGTTGTATGTCTGCCCCTGGCTGCTGGTATGTGACCATTCTAATTAGAGCTGCCACACGTGCAGCACTGTGTGCCATTCAGTGCTGTGTTGGTTCTGCTGAAAAGATGGTTTTAAAAGCATATTGCTATCAGAGATGGCCAGGAGGGTCTGACTGGTCTTTTACATCCAGACTTAAAATCTTAGCTTCAGTTTTTAAGAAGCTTAGTGTTGTATTTTTATTATTTACCTCTGAAGAACCCCTACACGACAGAGATTCTTATGGAGTTTAGTTTTTTCCTTTCTTGTGCTTTTATTTTTTTAATGCATTGGCTGCAAAATTCTGTGAAAAAACTCACAGTGAGCATTGTAAGCTCATCAGTAGCTTGAAAAGAAAATTAGGTTATTTTCCCAAATGTTTGCATTTTAGTCTCCTCGTATCTTTGAACTTATCAGCATTTATGTTACTGTCAGTAAGTACAAAATCATATTGCCTTGAAATCAAAACGTTATGGAGCTGATGCTTAAGTAATAAGGTAGTTTTCCTTTTTTAATTTTATGTAAGTGCTGTTTGAGAGTTTATTGCAACATTGCCTGAGGCCAACACTTAGCCTTCCTGAGAATTGCTGTGTGTATTCCAGCATATTTCTATTTGACTAAAAAAAAAAATTAAAAAAAAATTGAAAACAGTTTGGGGTATTGGCTGTTGATGATGCTGTGCTCGAGTGATGTTCACAAGCTGAGCTGTTCCTGCTGTGACTGAGATCTGGCAACGAGGATGTGTAGCAATGCGTTCACATGTTGGGGAGACTTGTCAATAGGTCTCAGTGAAAGGGGCTTCTTTGCATGAAGTGTTTTCCGAATAATTCTGGGTAAGCCTTGTAACAGTGCGTTGGGTGGGTTTTCTGTAGGTATAGGTGGTTACAGAAGCAGCTCTGTGTACTTGCAAATTGCACTGGAGTAAATGTAGCAGTTAATTAGAAAAATCAGCTCATTTAGCTCATATATTCATACAAAGCCTATGGCAGCAGAGAACCTAAAGCGGTGCTTTGTGCTGCAGTCACATACGTTAATGTATCTCTGACTTCCTTTTCTCAGGTTAGTTGTGCGTTGTCATTTTTCCTGTTCTCCTTTCAAGTACATGAAAAATCTATTCTCCTAGTGTCGGTGTAAGTAAACTGTTTTTTCTGTATATTTATTCTGGTCTTCCTCATCTTATTACTTACTGCATGCTGCTTTCTCCCTTACAAATATAGCTGATGTTAAGTACACACTTGCTGTTCTGAGTAACTTGTAAATGAAAAAATATAAATACAACTGTGCTGGTCTTTCCTGCTGTAAGCTCTATACCTGAATCCTGCTGCAGGTGTTTGTGCTGGGCTGAACGTTCTGTGTGAGGCTTGGAGGAGCAGGGAAGCAGGGCACCCAGGCAGTGGATGTGGTGCTTAATGTGCTGCCTGGGTTTTCCTCAGCGCATCCGTGTTTGTTTGTTTGTTTTAATTTTAATTTTTATTTTTTAGACCAGTCTGCTTAATCATAAATGAAATCCCTTTTATGGCCACGTGGTTTCTACTTGTATCAACCTTCAGGTGAGTCAGACACTTCGCGTCATTTTAAGTGTTCTTCCCTGATCCTATTAAGTATCAGGGTATTCTTTTCTGCTCTTCTTTTACGCTTTGTGTAAGATACCTCAGTGTGCACTCACTTCTGTGCTCATTGTCTTCTAACAGTATGTTGCCTCTTCTTCTGAAAGACGGCCTGCTGTTGGCCTACGCTGTGACAATGCTGGCGTTCCTGTCAGCCTGTGTGGCTTCCTTTGCAATATTTGAGAAGACCTCAGCAAAGGACCTGCAGCTGAAGCCGTTCTCCCTGTCCCTGCGGGGCTACATCACTTGGTTTAAGCCCTTTCCCAAGATTGTCAGGAATCTGGTGAGTAACTTGAATTCCTACAGCCCTCACTTAAAGCTCGTCATGGTACTGAAATATTTGCATGAAGCCACATATGTCCATAACTGAATGAAGTGTCCTGCAGGGAACGCCGTGTTGTGTCGGGGTAGAGGTATGCTAAGTTTTTTTTCCTGTGATGTCATCTGTGTGTAGATTGAAGAATACAGAGCACCGAAGTAATGGAAGTAGCAGCTTATTCATGTGAGGTGTTAAATCAGTACTAGCTAACACATCATTGTGTCTTACAGTTCCTTCTGTCTGTAACCCTGATGGGCGTCCTGTCTGTGATGAGTGCTGCCATGCATCCTCCACAGAGGTTCCCGGATTTATTCCCTGTATCAGTGTCCAGTATTTCTTGCTTACATTTTTTATTCTTTTTGGTGTATTTTAATGTAATCATACTCTGGGACTCAAAAAATAGTAGGAATCAGAAAAAAGTCAGTTAACCTGTGAAGATTGTGGACTGAACTGTGAAAGGACAGTGGTTTTAGTGAGCAGTGTCTGACACTGCAGGTGAACTTGTTTATGATGTCATACAATTCTTGTAAGCTAATGAAAATTGGGAAACATGTAACACATTTAGCTGTGAAGTGATCAAAGACTGTTCTAAAGGTGTATCTTGAGGAATACTTGGAAGTGAAAGTTGATGTGTTTTCTTCAGAATTGTAATACTTGTTATTGCCTAATAAAGGACCAAATTTTGAATGAATGTTAAAATATCCTGGCTGTATTAGCAAAACAAAAAACTGTTCTGTTGGCGTTAAGTTCACATGTTTCCCAGCACAGAAAGCACATGTAAGTCAACGTAGTGTGGGTGAGTGGTAATTGCTGACTGGTAACTGTAAGTTGTCCTGCTGGATTGTTTTATAACACAGCTGCCTTGTGCAGCCTGTCGATGCACGCATCATTCTCCCATGTAGAGTGCTGCAGATCATCCAGGCTGCTGCTTGAAGCTGTGCATCAGCGTGGGGTGCTCCTGCTGCTGTGATCTGAGCAGAACGGCTGATTCTTCATGACTTTTTCTTAATTCATCTGACAGCAGGTATTTAAAACAAAAGAAAACAAGCGTGGTGGTGGTGGTAACTCTTAATATTAAAGACTTGAGCAGTCTGGCGGGAAAGTTTACGTGTACTAAAGGAACATTCCTTTCAACTATTAGCAAAGAGTCAGTGATTATTTCAGACATCCCCCTAAGATAACACTGAGTGCCATTTCCATAGGCCCTGCTGTCAGCTGTGCTTCCATACTGACACGCTATTTACTGTTTGGTTCCTCCTTAGAACTGGAGCAGTTAGCAAGCTACTGGCTTCCATGCTTTTTCTTCTCCCAAAAAAGTATTTAAGTTAGTTCTCTGTAAACTTGTGGCAGAGAAAAGGGGAGAGCAGAGGTGGAGATGCTGTCTAAATCGTTGTTCTCTTGCTCTCATCACAGTTAACAAAGCTTCTGTCTGACCTCATCTTTAAAACAAACAAAACAACCCCAAACCCACACGCATTTTGATGTTAACAGAGCTGTTAGCTTTTAGCAGAAATGAATGTTCTTAGCATAAGTTTCGTAGCCAGACCTTGGTAAGAATTGCTTTAGCACTGCACACCCTTGTTTAATGACTCCTGCCTGACTTCCCTGCTCTCTGCACATACCAAACTGTCACTGACATTAGCACATTCTGGAGCTCCCTCTTTGCAGCATCAGTTCTGTGTGTGTGAATCAGCTGTTCCGTGTGCTTCCAACTGTGAGTTATGAATACTGTCAATGAAGTGTCTCCAAGCTGACTATTTCTTCAGTTTTTCCAGCTTTATTTGTTGTGGAAAAAATAATCTCAGCCAACATTTGACCCAGGGTAGCTTAGACAAAAGGCATTCCTGAATAGTAATTATAACTTGAGAGGGGGGCAGTGCAGCTTATCTTATTTCTTTACCTACGCAGTAATAGTTTGCTGGAAAGCAACAAAACTTAAATGTTTTCACAAGCATTTAGAATTTTTCTGAGGGAGTGTCTCCCAGCGTGGCACACCAGATCTCTGCCACAATCCCTTCTTTCTTTGAGAACATGTAGGCTGAGCGGGCACCGATGTGTATCGGGATGCATACATAGGAATCTTTGTCTGCAGAGCTAAAGCATGCAGCATTCCCACAGGCGTGCTGAGAGACTGCTGAAGCTTCAGGAGCTTTGAAGACCTTCTGCTTTCATTGAAATTAAGTGTGAAACAGCAGATTAAGATGGAAGCAGAACAACTTCACGTTCTATGAGCCTGTTCTCTTGTGTTCATCACAAGATCAGGGCAGGGTCCTTCCCACCCGTATAAAAACATTAGTTTTGCGTGTATCTTTTTTCTTTGTCCTTGAGATGGCCTCCAGGGGTGATAAAGTGAGAGTCATCCGATCCACCTTGTGTGGAACTGGAAATGGTTCTTAACAGACCCAGCTGTTTCGGAAAGGCAGAAGCCTGGTACAGGGAGAGGTCAAAGAAACAGTAACTGCTTAGATAGCTAAGGCATGTGCCACGAGTATTTGCAGCAGAAGCTTAGGGTGAAAACACTGTATTTCCCTAAAAATGGTTAAGTAACAAATGTCATTGTGATAGGGTGAGCTTTGTGTAAATAAATCACTGCTGTAGCTGACTGTCCATCATCACCCATACTATAAAATTCTCTATAAAATTACTTTGTTCTCCTAAGACCTGTACAGAACAGCTTGCTGTAGATGGCATACAGTTCACTTACAGATCAATGATTATTTAATTTTCAGTTACAAAGGTTACAGTCAGGTTATATAAACTATTACCATTTAGTCCCAATTATTTATTTTTCCATTATCATGCAAACAATCAGCTGGTGAAGCCCATGCACATAGCAACAACAAAAAGCAGTGCAGACAAATGAGTAACAATTAACTTCTCACATTGAACTGCACAGCAATTAAATGCAAAAGTAATTTTTATTTATTAAAAACTCCCAAAGCTTCAGTACATCCACGTTTGACTATGTATATATTTAACTACACATTGTAATGTTTCTTACTCAGTGTTCTAGAAACTGGTTAGCAAGAAATGATGTTCAATTTTCTGTGTTTATATTGAACTTCTCTCTGTTCATGAAATTTAAGGGAAAAAAAGTCATTCTGGGGAAAAAGTCATTCTATTGCACTCTCACCACAAGAGAGGCTGCACCTAACTAACTCAGCAGTTCAATTTTGAGCATAGTGAGCAAAGAGAAGTTGTTTGGTAAAAACTTCTCTACATATCATTTAATACTGAAACCAAACTAAAATGATGACGTACAAAGAATGTCAACAGAATGTTGACAGCATTAGAGAAAGCATCTTTGTAGATGGCAAATTTGTCCTTAAGTGGCAGCTATAGATGAGTAATTTGCCCAAGTATAAACAAATCAAAGGGTCAGCAATTGGAACCTTGCATAATAGAGCTTCCTTTATCTTTTGGTCACCATCATCATTATAAAAAGCTGTGTCACCTGTCAAATATTGTAGATTTTTAGGAAGTCTGTTGGAAACCCAGACGCAGTCATTTAGATCGTGCTTTGCTGCCTTATTGCTGGTGAGATTAATTGAGCAGCCCAGCAGGAAGCAGCCATTTCCTAGAGCATCATGCTTTGTGAAGTTTTCCATTGCTCCCTGAAGTTGTGGGATCCAATGCTTCTCTTTTACAACATTTTCTTCTCAGCAGTTCTTGCAGGAAATGCTTTACTGCAACTTTTTTTAAACCAGAGCAACATAACTATTTTACATTCTTACTGCAAATATATAGAAGAAAATAGTTAATATTCCATGCAGCAGTAAATCTAGATCAACGTTCTGTACACACGCTGGGATAAAATAACCACAAAGAAATGTATTATTTACATTGAGATTATCTGGTTGTGCACATTGTTAAGTTTAAATAGATGCCAGAAATTTTATCTAGAAGTGCACCTGCCTAGCACAGCAAGCAATTCCTAACTGGTATTTGCTGGGAGATAGGCTTACAGTTGGTCCTTCTCTCCTTTTAAGTACAATCAAGCAGATGTAGAACTTTGGGTTGATGTGGAATGCATTTTTCACATAATGCCTGTGGGGAGATAAGGAATGACTAAAATAAATTGCAGTTAGACAACATCATCATCATTCATATGATCTGCTCACAATTATAGTTCTGTCCTGTGTCCAGCAGCAGCCTTGCTGCTCAGAAAATAGATGCACACACATCCTAAGGCAATGCAGGCCAACAGATGGTCTCTGCTGAACTGCTGTAATGTTTGGAACTGTTTTAAGGAAATGCTATGTTCCTATCTACAGAAAAAAGTTGAATAAATAATGGTTAAAGAATTGTTTAGCTATCACAGCCATGTATTTGTAAACCACAAGAAAGCAAAGGGCTTTAGTGCACTGAGCCTCACAGGGAACTGGGCTCCATAGAGGGGGAGCTGGTTTGGAAGGAGGAAGGAGTAGGGAATCACTGGATAAGCAGCTGCTAGGTGCTGGGATGACAGCACCTTGTGGCCAAGCACAGCTTGAAGCTGTTCTTTTTTTTTCCCCTTCCAGGTTAATGATGGTTATGAATAAAATTTAACCTTCACTGAGAAGCAAAACATGTGTATGACTTCACCCCCATACTAGCTCAGTTGTACAGCTGGTAGAAACTGTACATCTGCTTCATATTCCTCAGTTACAACAACTTAGAGTGCTTCAGCTCTCCAAAAGGAGTGATGTTCTTACACTGCAAAGGGAAACACTACAACCTGGCGTTCTCCCCTTCTTTGGCTCACAGGGTTTATGAAACACACGAGCAGGCAGTTTTTCCATGCCTGGGTAACACCCAGTGACAGACAAGGTCAGCCTCTAACTGGGCTTTTCTTACAGCACTGCAACAAGGACAAGCAGCCAAAGGTGGGAGAATTTAGAAACTCTTAAATACGACTCGAGGTGTCTGTTAGTGTATTGTTTTATGCTTCGTGTTCTGGGAATGCTAAGAATGAACCATTCACAGGATTGGAGGAGTTGACCTGTTGTTTTGCAGAGGGCTTGTATAAATTTGCACATGCAATGGCACCTTGGGATGCTTACATCCCACGCTGTGATAACTGAATGCTGGAGGTGCCTGGGGTCTCCATGCTGTCCCTCCCCTGTACCCCTCCTGCCTGCTTGTCCTACTCCTGTGCATTCATCTTCTTGGTGAGCTGTAAGGAGTCACTCATGGCAGCTCAGAAAGCGTTATTTGCTGCAGTGCACACATTTTTGTACTTTGTTTATGTGTGTTACAGCTGAATTGCCACTCTTTGCAAGTATCCAGTTAGAGACTGACATTGTTTACAGGGAGAAATGCAACCAGGTGTTTTAGAGTGGGATAGTTTTTTTAGTATTTTCAATATGTCAACATTTCTCCCTTTGAACCATCCCAGTTTTGATTGCAAGCCTATATCATAGATCGCTCTGCACATGTTTGAAAATAGCATGTCTCAGTTCTCAGGGTCACGGTACCTGTGTGCAGCAGCTGGCGAAGTTGCACAGCAGACAGAGGCTACAGAGAGTCGAGGAGCAACTGCAGGAAGGCAGAGCTGCTGGCTGGCTGAGCGTACTCTGCAGGGGAAGAAAATCAGTGTTTTGTAAGCAGAACAGTGGTGTTTGTACAGAATTGGTGAAAATCTCCACGTAAATATGAGTTAAGTGAACTATGCAATAGTTGCAGAACTCTTCACTTCATACTGTACATAAAAAATCTGTAAGGACCATAGACACGTAAGGACCATAAAGAGCTGTACAAAGGATTTGAGGAGAGGAGCAGCCATCCCTGAATCCCCTGAGGGAATGGCAAACAGCAGAACCTACCTGAGCCCTGCTGGCTGTGCCTGTCTCAGAGCGGCCAAGCGCAGGGCTGAGCAGGTGGCTGGGAGAAGGGCAGAAAGAACTCAGGGAATGGGAACATAAGGGGGAGGAAGCAGGTGCCTTTCTGGGTGGCTCTGCAGCAGATGATCAGCGCCGGGCTCTGCGCAGCGGCTGCTGACGGTTCACAGTGCATTTTGGTTCTACCACCACAAAAGGGTGAGGACGGAATTCAGAATTATTTGCAATATATTAAAAGTACTAAGGACCACAGGCATATTTGCAGTGTTTAAAGCTAAAAGGACTTCCTATGAGGAAAAGGGCTGCACAGAAGCCCACAAAGATGCATCAAAGCCAGTAAAGACACAGGTGATGGCAACGACAAGTCTAATTCTCACCATGCTCTGATTTCTCAGCTGCAGGTGGTGTGACACAGCAGCCTTGCCTGCAGTACCAGCAGAGGTGCCGGTGATGTTACATGGAGCAGGCCACAAATCCTAAACTACATCTCTTAAGATTACTCTCCAAAAAACATCCAGCTCAACTTTGCCTCAGGTACAATTTCACAGCATTATAGCTAATAAACACCCTTTCCTTATACAAATCGTCATTAAAAAACTCCCACCAGCTATCAGTTAGAATAGGAAACTCTCCAATCTTGTATGACAAGCTGCTCAAGGAGGTTGTGGATGCCCCATCTCTGGAGGCATTCAAAGCCAGGCTAGATGTGGCTCTGGGCAGTCTGGTCTGCTGGTTGGCAACCCTGCACATAGCAGGGGGGTTGAAACTAGGTGAGCATTGTGCTCCTTTTCTATGATATGATTCTGTGACAAGCAACAGAAAAGACTGAGATGCAATTACTAGCTGCTTTCTTTGGCTTCTTTGTGCTAAATGCAACTAATTCAGAAGTCTTGATGAGGCCTTTACTTGCTGACAGCAGCATTCATGCTACACAGGACCTAAAGAACCCATACACACAAGCAACCACACTGAGACCAGCATGTCACTCTGAGAAGGTGTCTTAAAAAATGTAAGCTGCCCAGATTCATGGAAAACTGACTCTGCTTTTTGTTCTAGATGTATACAATGATAGCACACTTCAATGAGCCATATTTATAGTAATATTTATACAGATGGCATTTAGATACTCAAAGAGTGAAGAAAATATATTATTTACTTTGCAGATGGTCCAGACCAGTACAGTGTTTGTCACAGCAGTTCTTTGGGTGAGCAGTTTATTCGGTGAGCTCACAAGGGCAATTTGTTGCTCAAAAAAACTTAAACAAAACAACCCTTCTCTCTCTCAGTATTTGACATGAAGAACCCATATGTAAGCTCAAACGTATCCAAGCACAGATAGCAATATCAGCCAAACTTCCAACTGAAAGTCTGCTGTGCCTGCAGCGGGCGGGCTGGGCAGGGCTCTCTGGAGCGACAGGAGGACAGGTCAGCACTTTGGGGCTGCTCGGCACAGTGCAGCACCCTAATGGTCACCAAAAAGCCTGGCCCCAGTGCCAGCAGGCCAACCTCCCTGCCGCCTCCTGCCCCAACCTGCTACAGCATCAGCAGGGCAAAATCCCAGGTTTCTTCTCCAACTTCCACTACTGTTCTTTCCCAAGTTTGGCTGCCCTAAAACATTCGCAGATCTAAAAAGCGGAGAGAAAAAAAATGTCCACCTGTCAGGTGATATAAAACCAATCTTGTACTAAATGTGCCAGAATAATTTTTCTCCACCTCAACCACAGTTAAAACCGTCAGTCTATTCATTACTGTCTTTTTATAGTATTTTTATTTAATAAAACCTATTAAGACTACCATACAAATCTCTTTACTTATGCTTTTATCTTTTAACTGATCAATTTTTATATTGCTGACATCCCTTCTTCACCATTTGCTCATTTAAAAATTCATAGTATATGAGCTATGTCTCTGGAGAAAACGTCTATAAAATTTGTTACAGCTGGCAAATGTGTATGAGTCAGTGATAGCACATGACTAAATGCTTCACAGAAAATAAAATTTGTTTCTGTAGTAAGCAGAACTGTTTAAATGTTATTTATTTTTATGTTTCAAAGAAAATATATTGTGAAGTGCTGCATTGATTTAATACGCAACAATGTCTGTGTACACGCTGTACCAGGAAAATTTATGAAACCTTTGCACAACTCCTTTAATTGAATTTTCCAAATCTCTCACCACACACAAATAATCAATATCTTCTGCAGAGAAAACCAGTCAGAATTATTACAGTCTTTCTTTTCAATTTTGTTGTCATCAGCACATACAGAGCACCTGGATATTTGTAACGTCTGGATAGCAAGTTATTTACACCTCTTAAACATATAATTGCTTCTAAGTGAGTCCAAACTAATGTTTCTTTTCTTTTTTATTTAAAATAATTATATTCATGGGAGAAAGCAGTATTTATTCTCATGCAGGAGTTGCTACACGTAGCTGTTGAAAGTACTACAATGCTTTAATTTTTCATTAAACTTAATGCTCCAAAGTCTCGATCCGCTAGGATTAAAAATTAATGGCTATCGAGTCTGTAAAAAGGTACATAGGAAAATAGAGTGTAAACACGAGTGTGAAATTCATGAATAAATGTGGTCGACACCTAAACATAAAACGCAGGCTGACAGTTCTATGCGTACATAACGTCGGGGGCCTGTAGTCGTATGTCTCATGTGCATTTCTGTATCTGCCACCAAAGTTAATAGCTTAATATTTCATCTGCATTGCAGAAGATGTTAAATCATGGGAGAGGTTTGTAAATTGCCCCCTTCTATCCAAAAAGCTTATCACGCTGCAAGCTCAGGCCCAGGCACTTCTTAAATCTCAGGCTAAAGGTGCACTCCTGAGGTGTGGGTCCCATCCAGCTGAACGTGGCAGCAAACACTGCAGTGCTGGGGTGCCATGGGAGCACAGCCAGCAGCCCCTTACCTTTCAGCAGGGCTCCTGCAGTAGACGAGGCTGTTCGCCTGCACTGGGCAAACCACAAGCACTGCACTTTTTGGATAGCAGCCTCCGTGGTTCCTGTTATCTCTGCTGAACTGCAAAGGACTTTACGAACTGAAAAAAGAACTGCATGCATGGACTGAGAACACATCCTGCCAAATGTGCCTGAGCAACAGGTTTTCATCTGCAGTACAAATCAGCACACAACACTCTTCTCCTTAACGTGTGCTTTGGGGCAGTTTTACAATTAGTTTTGATTGTGAGTGCAGGAGGGTAGAGTGATTTCTTTGCATGGGGAGATTCGAAACAATTTATGATCAAACAGAGCAGGTGGGTCGGACTGAGCCCTCAGGTGTGTGCACACAGCACAGTTCTGCTTCATGCAGTCCCACGTACAAACGTACACACTGTCGTATAACTTAAAGACATAACTTGGATTTCATTGAAAGGATCTTGACCTAAGCTAAGAAACTTTTTTGTGTCAGTGAACAGTTTTTCCCAAACAGATTAAAGAACTGAAATTCAGAAATGAATTTATACTCGTTCATTTGAAAATGAGGCAGAAATATGTTGTAAGATGGATTTACTTTCACTCACATCTATCCCCAGCAGGACAGACCCCACCTGTTTAGTTGCTTACATACAAAGACCCAATAGAAAGTCCAAACTCAAGCTGACATAAATTAGGATGAACTGTGGAATACTCTATTATTGCCATTCTGTTTTGAGAAGGAACTCTCCTTATTTTATTTTGCACTGTTTCTGAAACTGAATTGTATGCTTCGTGATGTATGCATGGTTCTCTTGGACAAAGAGAAATCCCGCAGAAGCAGATCAGAAGGCAGAAGTGGCCAAGAAGTAAAAAAAGGAATGCCTCACTCCTATGGCTGCGATATAATTTGTTTTGAGAAGATGACTACCAGAAATCAGCAGGCTGCAGAACTTGCAGTTGGAAATACTTTCCTGAGTGCCTGAGGATTCAGAGGCAGCAGTGTCAAGCTCAGATCTGCACTGCAAGGCAACGGAAGATAGAACTCTGAAACTCTTTGGAAGAGAATCCCTTAATACAGAAAGCCAAGTTTCCAGACGGGACAAGATGAACCAGTTTAGACTTCTTGCACAAGAAAATGAACTTCAACAACAAGTCTCTCCATTTTATTGCCTTTCTATGTAGCTCAGGGAGTTTTAAAGGTCATAACGAGAGATTATCCAGCCATATTTTAAGCCTAAAGCAAGGCGTTGTTTAGAAGAAAAAAAACATTGTATCTGTGCTTTTCATAGATGTATTTGCAGCTATGACTCTTGGACTAACAAAGGTGTTTGCCTGCTCAACGAGAGCACAGTCATGGAGAATTTTTGCATGAGTTTGAGCAGATTAAACTGGCTGCAAAAAAAAACAGTCAGTCTTCTTGCCTTGTGGCAAACAAGGTTCAAGTGCCATGCTTCATAGCTGGTTACAAAGGTCAGCATTTTCACTGCCTTCTTTGCAAGGGACAGCAATGCTGGGCAGACAAGCTGGAGCTCAGTAGTACCTGGTCCCTAATCTCTGGAGTTGGCTTTCATTAGTAATCTCAGTTGGGTTAAATCAAAATCCATCTAGTCAACCCTGATCCAGTCTTTTGGAGAGCAGCCACTCATGTTTCAAAGAAGCAAACTTGAGGCCTTGCATTACAAGCAAATGAAAGTTAGGAACATTTAGAACCGAACTTAGTGGGGATGATCATATGTGGCACTGGATTCATCAGGGCGAACAGAGACAAATATAAAAGGGTTTTTTATTTGACTGTTAGGACATAGCCTGAAAATAGTTTTCCTGTTTCCTTCCTACACAGCAAATATTTGATCTTCTCTAACACTCCCTTACTGTTTCTTACTTAGACAGCAGAGTCATGGACATGATTTATGTCACTGTTTATTTTTGGGTAACAGAAATTATTAATATAATTTGTACAAACCATCTCAAATAGCTTTCCTTTGTAGAACACTGAAGTGATTAAATTTTCCTTTAAAATATGCATATCACAACCTACACATTCATTCTCAACACACATAAAGCATGTTTTGGACTGCAGCATACTGACTAGATTTCATCTCTTGGCAGCTGTTTTACAGTTTGCTTATATTCTATTCAAAAACATTTTGTTTACTGTAAATGCTAGTCATGGACAAACAATGATGGCATTTTTTATGCTGGTCACACAAAATGATATACTGAGTCCTGCATAATGCTGCCCATTGAGCAAGGAATGTTTTGTATTAAGTTGTTTTAAGCAGAGGTTGTTTATGTAAAGTAAATAAATTTCATGCCTCACCATGTGATGATAATGTGACATTCCATCAGTATCAAGCCACAGAATAGTCATAGGTTTTAAATTTTGAGCATAACTAATTACAAATAATTACAGAAAACCACATCCAAAATTAAAAGGCAAAGTAAAGCATCTCCAAATGCTTTCTTTTTATCTCAAAACTATTGGCCTCTTCTACTTCTGTGTTTTCAAGACTGCAAATAAGAAATTATTAAAACAAAAGTGACGTTTGAAACATCATCAAAAATCATCAACTTGAGCTCATATTCTATTTCCCATCACACTTTTCCCAAATGCTTCCTTTCTTCTCCAGTAAGACTGAACACTGGCAACGTGTTCAGTGGGCTTTTTACACCAACAATCGTTAAAGAGCAGGGCACGAGGGAAGCAGAGGCTGTACTGATCTGCAGTGGCCCACAGTGCTCAGCACTACCACTGCCTGATAGTGGCTGTGCTCATTGGAACAGAAGGACAAGAGGAATCTGAGCACCCCCCCCCACCTTCCCTTAGCCAAGGCACTGAAGGGGCTGTGTGGACCACGTGAGATTAAACACCACCAACTTCAAATATTTTCACAGGCCTAGTTATGAGGAAACCTAATAGCTGGGATTTCACAGTCCCCTGGAGTGTGCTAAGTACCTCCCAGTACATACAGGGTGATAAAGGTTCTGCTGCAGACAGCGCGTGTTACTCGGCTTATATACTCCAAATGCGAGGAGAGAGAGGAGAGTGAGAAAGAACAAAGATAACTTGGATGTATGAAGGATAGGGAAAGTCTCAAGGGCCTGACTGCACTGAGTTCTGGATCGTGCCTCAAGTGCAGGGCTGTTAATGAGACACACTTTTACGGAGAAATACTCAGTACCACAAAATAGCTGAAAAGATGAAATTTCCATTTGAATAGTGCAAGAGTTTAGGCTGAGCTGCAAGTTCAGAAGAAATACATTTGATTACTGCCACTTTCATACACTAAAGGTTATCCAGCTTACTTCAGGTGGAAAGAACTAAGGAGGAATCAACTAAAAGGAATCGTCAAAACATCAGTTATGTAGAAGTTACAAAATTGGTCTGGTTTTGGTTTTTGTTTCTCAGTACCTCGGGCAGGAAATTGTCCATGGTTCCTTTTCAACAGCTGCAGTTCTTCTGCTTGGCTCACTAGTGAAGAAAGAAACCTAAAATCAATAAATGATACCCCAGAGATTTCAAGGAAAACAATACCAATGATTTCTTATTCATTTGTGAAGCACTTGTATTTTCCTTCACGTTATTAATAGAAAGAAAAACACCAAGCGTATCTATGGATTGCTAAAAAAAATAAACAAAAATAAGTCGAGAAGAACATAGTTTTGAAATGTGCTTACAAGTCTTGTGTTACATTTTATTCCCATTTTTATCTTCTACTGTTGACTCTTTCTTCTAATCCAGAGAGTGGGGGAAATGAGGATTCTTTCCCATTTTGACGGCAACAGGAAGCTTACAGAAACAGTGCACATAATAAAGTGCCAACAAGAGGTCTGACATCTCATTTGCAACCTTCTCCTGGATGCGATAGTTGTACTGTCCTATCCACGTGTAGGGTAGTAATGTAAACATAGACTGTTTTCACAGAGCTTCCTTTTGTGTAAGAAAGCCTCTGGTTATCTGCATGACTGTGGGAACGAGCACGGTGTATACAAATGCAAAATGAAATCTGAATGAGCATTGGAATACAAGGCAGGAAAGAAATGTTAATTTAAACAACAGTAGTGCTGGAATCGTGTGGTGCATACATTCCACAGCTGGGGTGCATACACCTCATGCATTAGAGGAGTCTCAATGATCTTTGGTCAGAAAAATCTTGTGGCTTCCAAGTGCAAACATAAGCAGCAGAGTCAGCCAGCTGATTTCTGCTCTCCTGCAGCGAGTTCCAGCATCAGGCTCTGCAGGTAACAGAGCACCCTGATGGGTTCTGGAATAATGTATACCAGCAAAACATCACATTTGGTGCAGGATAAAAAACTTTGTATGCTTATCATCTTTGAATGCATGTCCCATGAGTGAACACTGTGACTGTGCATATGTATATTATGTTTATATTCCCTTGTCAGCTGGGAACTAAATTATGAGGTTAAGTGCAAAAAGTCCAGAGGACCAGTGTTATATAGGTGAACCTTGGAGGAGAAGCAGTCATTAGCTAAAAGTGTTAGACACACACCTGCATCATAAACATGCCGTGTGGATATGGATGCTTTCATGCTGCTGTGAAAATTAAGGAACAGACTAATCCAAGGCACAGAGATCAAGGCCTGAACAGCAACAGAACTCCTTAGTGCCTGCAGCTAGTTTGATCACTAAGGAAGGACCAGACCAGGCAGAGAGTTATTTTTTCCTTTGGATAACCGGCAGCATTTTTTGGCTGTTAAGTGTAAGTCAGCAATGAATGATAAGGATTGGGTGTGGTTTTGTTTTTTTCTTGCATTAGAATACTTTCCTGTGACATATTTGCTTTCTAACTGCAGAGGCTGCTGGGAACTTAAGTACAAACACTCTTCTAGCTGCTGAAGATTCAGAAGTCCCAAAAACCTGTGGCTTGGAGTAAAGACAAAACTTTCCTAAAACAAACACGCATAAAAGAAAGTATTTGACTTTCTGAGTTCCTATTACAGATGTGCCATCGGTAAGGTGCCCCTCTCCCAGCACAATAAGCATCTGGTATGTCCATCATTTAAAGACAGATGAATAGCAATTTTTAAAGCCTGGAAACCTATATTCAGCTTAATCCTTCTAACAGGCAAACAAACAAAACAACTTCCTTCCAAAAAGAGAAGAAAGGAACGCAATCAAAGTGCGAACGTTTAGCCTAATCACTAGCTAAGTGCCCACTAAGTAGCTAACTATTTACATGAGAAAAGCTGTTGCTCTTCCAAGTTTTTCCTCTCCACCTGCGGCTGAGTTAGAAGTGTGTGGGTTTGCCTTTCTTTTGTGTCCCCATTGGGTGCACAGGGACGTTTAAGGTGTATTTGCTCTGACCAGAAGAATTCACGCGGCAGAGGCCCTCAGTACAGCACTCCATTCTAACACGGTGGTGTATAAATATTGTCGAAAATCCTTCTTACTTAGCGCTTGAGTTTTCTGCAGCTCAGCTCTCAAGATGCAAGACGAGTCGGAGACACCGATGATATTTTCCAGCTCTCTGCTGCCCTCTAAAGCCTGGAAAAAAAACATAATCAAAGACCGTTAAACCTCACTCCCAAACTACCTACACAGCTTATAACAAATTTCGAAAAGAAAGAACTTTAGGGATACTTTTCTCAATACTACACGAGACTTTCTCTTACAGGGCGAGCGGGATTAAGGAGTTTAAGGCTAAGAACATGTGTTACTTTTGAAAACGGCATTCAGGTGCTTTTGAAAGAGTTGCTTAAAAATCTCCTGTTATTTACGCTTCATTCAGAAGTCTTCAGCTGTTTAAACAGATTAACACTTGATCCCCAGGAAAGCAATCTCGGAGCATGTACAAGCTTGCTATAATACGTTAGTAAAAGAGAAATCTGCAAGCGTTTACCATTCTATGGAAATATTGAATACCCTCCCAGCATTTGAAGGTAGATCTGAGAATATACAGTGGCAAATGAGAAACACAAAGGTTTTCTAAACAAACATTTCCACTATAGGATTTCCAATTATTAGCAATGGTGGTTTCTTTTTTCTTTTTTTTTTTCCCTGTGAATAAAATGCTGTCGGACCACATATAAATGAAAATAAATGATGAAATGCTCTCAGTATGCTGAACTATTTCAAGAACATTGATATTCGGCAGCTAACCTTGTCCTAAATGTATTCAAGAAAAGAAATCTGAGCAAACCAGAAGAATTATTTGCATTTTAGCATGTATTAAGCAGACTCTATTAAATGATGATACATTAGAGGTAAATTAAATAGTACAATCACTTCAACACAAAGGGATATTAAATCTTCAAGGACATATAAATCTGCACAGTAATAATTCACACTGCAAGTTATAAATAGTAGTTGGTAACTACTTCATATGCTTCTATTCATGTACAAAATGAGGAGAGAGACGCATTTTAAATAGCTTGCTTGGAAAAGGAACTTCTAATTCAAAAGTATGTATCTATTAAGTTGCCTTATGTGTGTGTATGTGGGCATGTGTTCTCTGTTCTTCCAGGCCAACTCTGCTTGGATTCCAGTATTTGCTTCCCTGTTCCTTTAAACTTAAACGTTGCATTGAAAGTTTTCATTCTTATTTCAAATTCCACACTAAAAGCCAAAGAAGAAATAAATAAATCGATGTCATTCAGACCTGTAGGCTTTTCAGGTTTTCTCTTGTTTTCAGAATTCTCACCAATGAACTTTTCACATTGGACTGCAAGGCTGCAAACCTGCATGTGAAGGTGAAAATAATTGCTATTAGCCACAAGGCACTGCAAAAAAAACCAAAACAACAACAACAACAAAAAAAACAACAGTGTTTACAGTGTATCCAACAGCTTCTTAACATTGTAACAGGATGGATGTAAATAATCTGTGAACCAACGGGCTACCAAACCTGACTGTGCCGTATAGCATCAAATACAGCTTTAAATATCAATATGGGAAGTGCCAAACAGATGTATCCTAATTTCAAGCATAGAAACCCAGGTTCAGTAATCAGGATTTCCTTACAGTCACACATCCAAACAGGATGACAGTGGTACAAACAGGAATGTGACTCGTTGGTACCATCACATCTATTACCCACAAATACATTTTATTGCCAGTGTGAATACCAGACTTTGTTATCTGTAAAAGAAATTAAAATCATACACCATCAGATTAGATCTAATTTCAAACCTCAGTGAATGATTGAGGATTTGCACTGAGTATTCCTTAAAAAGAAGTCCCACCATGAAGATTTAGGCAAGGTTCCCCTGCAATGCACGCAAATCAAATGAGGCAACAGGAATCATCTACCTGCTGCATCTTCCCATAAAAGGGAGAATCACACTCATAAGAAACCCCAAATCCAGTGTTTAGAAAGAAAGAAAGTGTATGGAAGCTCACATAAATAGCAGTGTGTAAGCGTTCATTTTTAAATGTGTTTTACTGGCATGTTCCTAACTGCTTGTCTTTCAAACACTTGCCTTTTTTTTTTAATTAAAAAAAGAGCATACTGCATTATTGAATGCCAACATTTAAATGTTAAGAAATACCACGATTACATAAATCCTCCTGCAAGCTCAAGGTTACTGACACTGTGAAATGAGTCTGAGTGTTGACCAAGGGATTTACTGGTTCACCAAGAATAAAATAAAAGCTCAGATCCACACAGACCACCATCCCAAAGCAAAGCAAAAAGCCCTTTTATTGGAGTCTGCGGCTTTCCAGAGCTATAACTGTAAGATGTTTTTATCTTTCACTTTAAGTATTTCTTTTTTACAATCCAGCACACCATCCAGACAGTGCTGCTGCCTGGCAGGCTCCACCACTAAGAAGATACTTCCTGTCCTACAAGGAAGGAATTTCAACCTGATGGTGGGGGAAGTTTCCTTTACAAGACAAACAAACAGAAAAGCAAGCACATCAGCACCACAACTGGAATAATCAGACAGGAGAGTTACAACTTTAAGTGAAGGATTAATTATTTGAACAAATGTCACAGATATTATTATTAAAAAGCAATGGATGCATTAGTGGATCTAGTCCTGAGGTAATTTTTATCTGGGACATCAAATGCAAATACAAATAATTAATACAAACAACAGAATAGAGGAGCAGAATAACAGATGCATACTTGAACATATGATGAAAGTAACACATTCAGGTATAAAAGCCCAACCCTCTAATTCCAGCTTGCCAACTAGCAAGGTGATTCTTCCAGTGCCACCAATTGCAGCACAGCAGTTGCACTCTGCCTTCAGTTTCAATAGGACTTAAGGTAAAGGAATAAAAGGAAAGAACAAAGAAGTGTGCTGACAAAGCAGTGTGTGGCAATGGAGGTTGCCTTATGTTGGGAGGTAAGTTCTTAACAAGGACAAACTGCAATAGCAGGAAATTCACCTCAGGTATTTTGAAGAGAAATCTTCCTGACCTACAGACACGAGAATTTACATAACAATTGGATGCCTGGGAACTGGGCCTGAATGAAATACAGGAGAGTCACAATACACACAGTGAGAATAAAGCAGATCAAGTTGTAGAGGAGAGATGAAGACATGGAACAACCACGCTGATGCTGAGTTGTGAGTGAGACTTTTGGAGACAGATAGCAAGGATGGACGTCAAGGACATCAGAGGACAAGCTGCTGAATCCTGAATCACCAGCTGAACAGGTAGAATAACACAGAAGGTAAGATTAAAAGAAGAACAGTGCAGTCCTGGTGAATGCAGTTTTGGTCAAGTTCAAATAATGGAGAATGTTATAGGAATATTGAGGATAATTCATTGGATAACTTCCCAAGAAATCGGAAGGCATCCTCAATACAATCCAACACACAGAGATTCACAGGGAAAATGACCAAGTTCTATCACAGTAAAAACAAATATTTGCTTTGCCCAGCTCTTTGGAATGAGTGTGTTTGTTTGGCAGGGTACACAAATAACACAATAACACACATACATGGCACCTCGCTGCTGGCACAGAAAAAAAATCAGTTCACATTTCAGCTGAAATTTGGCAATGTTATAAACAATTCAGTGTTTCTCATAACAGAAAAGATCGAGCAATACTAATAACAAGAGACACTAACAGCCTCACCTGGAACAAGTTTTTGTCATTTCTCCTTCCTCACGTCTGTCAAGCTTAGGAAAGCACTTTTATCACATACCTTACCCAAAACATTTCTTAGTGCTTTCGTAGATGTGGACTGCTCCAAGTCCAAGAATCAGAAGATTATGGCTTAAAATAAGATTATGGCAGAAAATACAAGAATTTTAAAAGATTCTACCATGCAAATGTGAAGTTTTGTCATTGTTATCTGTGATCAGATCTTAACTGAAAAGCATCCCAAGGTTATTGTACCTTTATCTTTGGATGTTTATGATTCCAAAAAGGTAAAGAAGGTATGTTTTCAGGAGAGCCTGGATAGGCAAAGCATACTTTTATATAGATAGCTTAATTGTGATACTTCATTATGTAGTACTATGGACAAGACTCCTGTAACAGGCAGTGCTATATGCCTCATGCTGCCACTGAGACAGAACTGTTGCATTGCAAACCCTGCATTAATCCATACCCATAACCCTCCCATTCAGTACCTTCAAATATCCAATCCTGAGCAACTGTAAATATTAAAAATAATCCCTATTAATTTAATTCTATATGGAACATGAATCCCTCCCAGCTGAAAATGACAGCACTGCACCTACAAAGCACTTTACACACTTACGCATCCTTCACTGTTTGAGGCTGCCCTCTTCTGGATAATCTGCTTTCTGAAGTAGTTTCATTTCCTATGAGTTTTACAAGAAAGGGAAAAAAACAACAATGAGAAAAATAAATTATTAGCCTTCTGAAGCACATGAAAAGCTGTTAATATGAACCTTGACTGCTGAATGATCTTTCAGGAAGATTATGTTTCAATTATGAAACAGGGCAGATTCCTTAGTAATGAAACACCCTAACTTGATTATAAATTATTCTTTCATAATTTGACCTCTTAACAGTTCACATGACATTTATATTTGTGGAAATCTAGGGATTAGCATATTGACAACTGTAAGCCTGTGTAATTCTGACATAGTTTCTTTGTTCTACATGTAAGTTTTTTTTATTAGTATAGCACAAAGCTTTACCATGAAGCACCATAATAACTGAGCAATGAAACTCTCACTTTCCTTTAATAAGAAATGCTTGGCCCCCAGCTCCATCTGGTAAACAACTACAAGGAAATAAGGTGCAAATTATTTCCAAGGGTTCTGACATACTGTATTGACAGTATCATGTTCTAGTTTGTCAAATGATGGGGCACGATAGATCATACCCCACTTGTCATTGCTCTGCATGTCGAGTCCTATTTCTGTATTTCAGCACTGCTATGTTTTGGAAGGGAACAGGAATAGGTTATTACCACAACAGCCTGTTCCCATGGCTTTGTTAACAAAACCTCAACTAACACCTGATTTACAAGTGATATCTATTAAGCAGTGTAACACTTAAAATAAAAGTGTCTTTTCAGAAGGAAAAGAGAAATAGTGGGTTTAAAAGGACGACTTGTAACTGTGATATAAGAGGAAGTCTGCTCCACCATCCTGTAGCCACATGAATATGGGGGGAAAAAAGAATGCTAGTACTAAATAACTGAATAATGATTCATCTCAGTGTCAGCTATGATCATGTGATCAGTCTTTTCATAAAGAATGTTTCCTTATATCCATATTTATTAATGGTATGGAAATATGGTATGCATTCACCTTTCCATTGACATCCTAATAGACGTCCATTTTAGTACGAGATATTTTGCTCCATTTTTTCTTTTACCTAAGATACAAGGCACGTAATGCAAATGCCTGAAAACTGAAAAGTTTTAGAACTTGTAATAGAGTCAGACAGTGTATTACAACGTGTTGAGTGGCAGAAAGGCATCTGACTGAAACTAAACAAACGAGTTCTTAAAGCCAGAAATCAGATGTAGGGAATATCCAAGAGAACATATAAAGAGCCACAGTATATTTAATTTTGTATTTGACTGCTACCATCATAAATAATTCAAAGCTATCTACAAAGCTAAGGTTTACAAGTACAGGTAGATATTTGCATGGGAACCATGAGATCACAGCCTGAACCAGTGATTGAGCACCTGGTGAAGGAGCATGGCCAGCCCTGGGAGCACAGGTGTGAGCAATTTGCTTGTGTAACCTTGGGTCCACCTCTCCCTAACCTCATTTAAGGGCTGGCAACTGAAAGAGAAGTATCTCTATATGGAGATCACCTTCTTTGGAGTGTTCAGTGAGCCCTAATCCTTGGAAAGGGTTAAGCAATTCTTTCTTCATCCTCAAATTGTGAACTCTACTTTTCTTGGGTGATCTACAACTGGTTAACAGCAACTTATATCTGTTTCTGCCTATCCTTACAATATCCAGTCAGGTTGAAGTATAGTTTGATTACTGCACAGGCAGCCATGAAATAAAAATGGGCATTTCATTAAAAAAAAAAAAGTAGAAGGCTGGGTTGTATATATTTATTTTTCTCAGAACCATTGTTGAGATGTGACTGTGCCAGTAAAAAAACTGACTGCTCAGAGTGCCTGTAGTGGATGGGGCATAGATTGTTCTAACCTGATTCTTTAGAATACAAGGAATCTTAATTCAGTGGTCATTAACTACTAGGCTTAATGTGCTGTCACTTCACTTGAATCTAATTACTTGCTGTTGTATTCTGGGTAAGAATGTAGGATGCCACATCCTGCCAAGACAAGTCAGTAAGTATGTACTTGCACTGCAAACATCAAACTAGTTTTCAAGAGGCCACATGCTTCAACTGCATATACCTGCATCTTATGTAGATGTGAGGTATGGAATGGAATCATAAAGTTTGTTTTAAGAAAAACACGTCTTTAAAAAAAAAATATGCTTTTAGGGGCTAAACCTCAAACAGGGTTTATTCTGTTCTGCTCAGAATATTTCTGCTCATCATAACTCATGAATGTTGGTGAAGCCTTGATTACTGTCTATAAATTCCAAACTATATGGGGCATCAACAAAAAGACTTAACAAGAACTGATGGCTAAAAATTAAAGCCAGACAAATTCAAAATCAGCCCAGAGACTTTTATTTAATAACGAAGGTAACTGAACAAGCAATGTGATAACCAGAGAAGTTACTTAATATATATTTGAAGTCTTCAGAGTGAGACAACCATCTCTGGGAGCTGGCCTAGCATCTAAAGTGCTCACCCAGAGATTGAATTCAAGCCCTGTTTTGGCAATCAGCTCATGGAAGGTGAGTTGGAACTAAATGACTTTTACATTCCCTCCTAACCTAGCTATTATATGATTTTTTTTTATAGGACTTGTACTGCAAGGAGACAAAAGTTCTTGGGTTTTATGTGGAAAAGGTAAGTGCCTTTGTATTATTGCTTTAATAATTAACACTAGGTGAGTTTGGTTCCTCTACACTTAAAACATATGACATCCATACAAGCAGGTTATTCTACTGAAAATATACTTCATAGTTTGTTTGCATCAAAGTTGTCTGTGGAGATATGTCTTAAAAGGAAATGGAAATAATATAATTATAAAAGGGTGAGAGCTCATGACAATCAGAGTTGTGTTAGCTTAACTAGAAAGTGCCTTACTCTGAATAACTATGTTAAAAATTACATAGAAGGAAGCAAAGCAGGGTTAGACTAACTCAACTTCTCTTTGACACTTGATCTAACAACTTGATCTACATCACTTTCTAATGCTGAGTCTTCCTCTATGAATATGGAAATTCAGTATGTATGCATGAATTTATTCTACTGGCATGAACAAATAAATCTGTTCCTCCATCTCAAACTGGGAAGCTTTAAGACAAAAAAGAAATCAAACATACTGCACAAGACACATAAATCACTAAATCAAGCCAATAGCCAGAAAAATGTTGCAATAAGAAAGGCAAGATGTTCAACTAACCATGCGATAAGCAGTTTCTAAGATCCTCTGCATTATGACTTGAGGGAGATGAAAATGGACTTATCTGGCATGTTCCTGTTGTTGGTGAATAGCAGTTCAGCTGCTGCTTCTTGGCTGAAGGGCTTGCTTCAACTGGCTAAAATGTAGAAGGCGGCAAAAGAATCTGGATCAATATTGACTACAGACAAAGGAGTTCTTATATCCACCTGAAGCCACAAAAGTTACAGAATTTTCATCTGTAAACTAAATACATCCTGGCCTCTGTTTGTCTTATCACAAGCGCTGCATACGGCATCCCAAATCAGTCAGAGCCTCTCTGAAATCTATTTGATGAGACAGATTTCTAAGTAATTCCAAGCTTTATGTACTCTCGCTTATGGGGAGCCTGTCATACGCGTGCAAACATCAGTTTTAGCCAAAAACGAGAAGACAAAGCACACTTCAATTACTAGCCTCCTTGTTTTCATCTAAAAAAAAAGTACATGGCTTCCAAAGATTCGGATATTCTGGCATACGTATGTACATGTATTATTTAAACAATAGTAAAAAAAACAAACTGGTGTTATCCTACTGAGAACTTAAGGCATATGGATATTTTTAGTTCCATCAAAAGATAGTAGAAATCGCTAATTAAAAACTAAACACAAAAGTCCATTAAAAGAGTCCATTAAAACCAAAACTTTGGCTTAGAATTTCAATATATTTCATGATACAGAAGTAGCACTTTAATGGTGTATGAGGAATTTTGCAGAGAAGTCTCCATTTCTGAACTATAACCTGGAGTGCAGTTTGTTTTCTAGATTGCAACTCTGAGAAACTGGGATTCCCCTGTGCTACCAATACTAAGAATAAAAACATGTTTGTTTGCACACAAAGGGCTTCGGTTCAGGCAAGAATTTGCTTCCAGCTAAGAAGTCTAGCAGCTTTATATAATACCATCAGTGACAGTCAAAAAGGAAACATACAGAGAAATAGAACACATGTACCTTGAGAATCCACTAGTATCAGCTGTATCTTATGTTCTTTGAAATCACTAGTGAAGTGACTTGGGATTTCTGCTTACCTATTAAGCAATGTGCCCAGTTCCTGACAGTACCTCACTGCTATGTAACCAGTGATTCATGACTAAACAGAAGGGCAGGAATGCACACCATGCAGCAAGTCAAAAAACACAGCTTCTGAGTGACAGCTTTCCTGTTCTTGCCTAGCTCCCATTTTGAGGAGACAGTCAGCAGGTATGTCCACCACTGCTTCCAAATGAGATCAGCCACCTCCAAAAGTGGAGAATGTATACAATGTATGAGTGATTTCACTGTATTGACATCTGTCATGCAGACAAGGGGTAATTTAGGTGAAGCCACCTTTTCCATTCCCTTCCAATATTTTTCTCACAGGTTTAAAGAGGAAACAGCAGTGAAACAGAGATGCTGGTGATCTTATCCCCCCCCTCCCTTGAAAACACAGTACTATCAAAACAAAATGCACCAAGAAAGAGAATGAGAGACTTCTTCAGTTTTTTGTTACATCTCTGGGCCCTTGGAGGTTGAGGAGCAAATTGATTTGTCCCTATTTCTGCAACTGAAGCAAGGAAAGGAGTAATTCATCCCCTTCCCTAACAAGCAGCCTTTTCTAGCAGGTCAAGCCCTGTTCTGCACACGAAACTTGGCTTTAAAGCAGCAAAAGAACTGTGTGTAATTTCAGCTGGACCGCTCACCTACAGAAACACTGCTACACCCCAATAAACAGATGTAGAATTACAGTCACAGCTGCATTCTGAGCAGAACAAGTTGGATAATGGTACGCTAAGCTGCTAATTAAATTGCTAATGATTTTTTTTTTAGTGCTATTGCAGAATTTTGCCATCTTTCTTTCAGCAGAAAAAAATCTTGTAAATTTTAAAAATTGTATATCTGTGTTTTGCTAACAAACAGTGAGAGCTCCAAGTATGAGCTGCATGTGAGCAGTTCTCTTGAGAAGGGCACAGATGTGGAGGTTTACTGGGAGCTCATTTACTGACCAGCTATTTCTCCTAATGTACTTTTATACATTTTCCCTTCATTTAAATGCTGCCATCCTCACAAAGACCTCGGTATGGTGTCTGCAGCAACACCCACTGTTGGTAGAAGCAGATAATAAACTGACATATGTCATGGCATGCTGCTATAGCTGCATTTACAAAAAGTAATAGCAACAGTACAATTTTATTTTTATTGTGATAACTGTGGTGAAATTTATTGCAGTGTAAGTACTTTATTGTTTCATTATGCCAGATCAGCTGAGGGAGGTAATTATAGCCTTGACATGAAAATGCCTTTAATGTTTTCATTTCAATTCTGCAGTTTATAATATGCAGATTACAGCATTATCATAATTCCATATTGTTACATGTACAATTACATGGCAGAACATTTGCTTCAGGATAACAGAGCTAATTTCTAATGAATGATTTCACCAAGTAGCTTAACTCATTCAGCTCTTGGGTAAATAGTGAGGGCAGCAAAAATATGCCTATTTCTCTCATTATATTCAAGTATTCATGCAGGCACACATTACTTAAGGCCAGGCAGTTGTAGTACGAATGAAACACTACAGATTATGTACTCATATTTGCATCTGTAATTGTGTGCCTTCTTGAGAATTTTCTAGATGAGCATCAATCTGTAATATTCATTAACTAATGAGATACTGTGTTTATGTACAAATATATGTATACAAGCCTATGTACAAATATCTGACATTATTTCATACACCAAAAATACTTACATTATGTTTCTTAACACTGTCTAACTTCAGTGATCTCTTAGCTCTGCAAGATAAAAAAAATACAGGCAAGTTTTATGGCCATCGAGATACAAAGCTTCCAGGTAGTAAGGTTTATCATCTCTAATTTCAATGACATTTACCTCTCTCATATCTGGAATTTTTTTATGCTACACAAGAAAAATATGATCTCAACCAAAGCAAATATTAAGTAATTAAAATACACTGTAAGAAAAACATTGCTTGTTTAGGAAGATTAAATATTTCCATAGGAAAATCCAATTTTCCATTTTTATACTAGAGATAAAAATCAAGACACTGAGGTGAATTTCACAGGATGCCAAATATACACTTCTCTTAAAAACCATAAACAACGGAAAAATGCAAAAGCATTATTATTTACATACCTTCTGAGCAAGGGTTGAAATCATTTTTCCTTTAGTAGGATTATCAAGCATTTAAAACGCAGGTACAGCCAAGGTGAAAAAAGTGGTTCTTCCCATCATTTTAGCTCTTAACATGATTCAGTGCTACCAGACTATGACTTAACTGGGGAACAGATGCTCTATGTCTTTACAGGTCCCCAAACCATAAGAAACTATTTTCTAGTCTTCTCCACTATACTGATTCAGGAGCACGCCAAGCTCTCTCTGCAAAATCTGCTCTGCTGAACTGGATGCCCAGCTGTTAATGGCAATGCTAGGAGAGGAAAGCTGAATATTTATAATACTTTATATCGTACAGCTGTCTTCTAAAGAGCAGTCATCAAAATTTTATTGAATGCAGACTAAATGCTCAAAGGAAAGAAAGGTCAACATAAATTAAGACTATTTTTCCCAGAGACAACTGAAACTTTTAAAGTACATTCTTAAATCTTAATGGTTTAAAGCATTACATAAAACAATGAAGAGAAAAATTTAAAATCTTTGTAAGAACAGTCCCCAAGGAACATATACTATATCAATTTAAACAAGAAGATTTAGAAATGCGTTATATTTCAAGATCATAGCACAGTTTTTATCTTGGAAAAGAACATACTGTAAGGAATTAAGATGACCTCGTTCCAAACATATCCTCTTTTAATTTACAGTACCACTCCAAAATTGCAAATTTAAGTGTTGGAAAAATTGAATGAAAAAACATTTTTGAAATATAACTCAGGTGAGGGTCTTTTATGTATATGAGATTACAATGATCTCTATTACAAAGAGGAAAAGAGAAGTATTCTGTCTTTAAAAAGCCAAGTAAACAAGTAACACATTTAAAAAAGTGACGGAAACTCTTGCCAAAGGGCAGTCAAAGCTGTAGCAGTTTGATGGAATTCTTTACAATGTATTTCTTTATTTAATACCAACCCATGTTGCTTAAGGAATACAGACTCCATTACATCTTCTGCTCTGGTGGCAGCAGAGAAACATATTTATTAATACACCTACTCTGAAAGGCTGCTCTAGGGACCGATGCATTTGCATGTTACACTAAGGCATGTTATGATGGAAGTTTTTATGACAGACTTCCAAAAGAGCTGGAAGCCAAAGTAAAGGAGAATCTAGACCCGACATAGCTGCAGGAAGAAGATAAATGAGAAACTATGTGAAAATCATGCTAAATTATAAATTGGAAAATTTCTTAGGGAGAAAGCTGTGGACCGGCGGAGACTGTATTATTTAAAGTCTGTCAAATATTGTGTACAGCAATAGAGTTGAAGACAGCCCCAATTGCCCTCTACTGGCTTGCAAAACCCTGCAAACACCCAAAGCCATGATGCTGAAGGAGCAGTCCCAATCCAGACAAGCACTTCTGCTGGAAGGAGCTGCATGGGGACAGCTTTGGCTTCAGGAGGTCGGCTTAGCCTTGCTTGTCCCAAGGTCAGATCCTGTCCCACTCAGCAGCCCAGTTTGCCCACAGGCTTCTTTTTAGAGATTGTCTCCCTGATTCTATAATGGGAAAAGTAGAAAGAGCTCTTGGCATCTGCTGTTCACTCAGAACAAGTTAAAACCTGTGCTTAATCTACATGGACTCCTTGGCTGGGATCACTGAAATAAAACTCATCCAAGTTCAGTTTGGTTTATCTTTTTTATATGACTGGAAAAGCCTTGCTGTGGCTCTGGATGAGAATCCAATGTCAGAGTTTGAACAAAACGGGAGGCAGAAAGATAACACACGTGATCATAATACACAATAACTTATTTACCTCAATCAGATTAGATCAAAATTACCTGACAGGAATTATTTTACTCTGTATAATTCAGAAAAATGTGATGGCCTATCTTTGTATCTAGCAAGGAACGTTTTGCTCGTGTTTCTCAGGTTAAAGCACCGTGTATTACTGCTGTGCTGTATTGCTGCTGTCTTGGTCGCATTTTCAGTTTCTCACTAATATCCTGTGACTTTTACTCGCTCACTTTGGACTTTGGGTCCTTTCCAACTCAGGCGATTCTACGGTGCTAAGATTCCTTCGTTAAAAAATACCCTAGCGACTACAGCAATCCGCTCTGAGGCCGTTTCAGTTTTAGCTCCCCCCACGCCCTCCTCAAGACAGAGCTCAGAACCGAACCCGCTCTTCCCCACACGGCGGCTGCCGCCCGCCCGCCTTTCTCCTCAGCGCGCCCCCCGCTAACGGCCGCCCTCAGGGTGGGCGATGGCGCCCGCGCGCCGCTACGTACGACATCGCGGCGGTTCGAACAGCTCCCGCCGCCTCGCGCGTCCCGCCCAGCGCCGTGCAGCAGCCTAACGCCGCCGGCTGGAAACGGCGCCGACGGGGCGGGGCGGTGGAACCGCGTCCCTCAGGCCCAGGTGTTCGGGCACTGAGTGAAAGGAGGGGCCGGGGCTGCCCTGCCTCACAGGGGAGGTTCGGCCGAGCAGGTTGGTTCCGTTCTGTGGGAGAGCGGGGATTGAACGTCTCCTCTGTGAGGGCGGGTTGTCAATATGGCCGAAGAAGCGGGGGGAGGCGGGCGGGAAGGACCGAGCGCGGCCGGGGAGCGCGGAGCCCGCTGCCCCTCAGCGGCGTTGGCTGCTCGCTGAGCTCCTCCTCGGCTTTCTCCTCCTTCCGTTGTGTTTAATGACACCGATACCCGTTTGTAGGAACCAGGCTGTATCGCCGTCCCCGGTGGGGTCCTTCTGATGCCAATGTCATACTGAAGCGTCAGGCAGGCGGGCTGCGTGTTACAGATAGGGCACTTCATCCGTGATAAGCGATTATTATCTTTCTTTCTCAAGAGTAAAAGACCTGTATAACTCAAAGCTGTGAGTGATTCAGGCCTCCGGAATAAGAACGTAATGAGTCCTGAAGGGGACCCTGCGATGCTGTTGTTGCTGGACTTGAGATGTTCAATTTGTTCTAGTGGAAGATATTTTCTGAAATCAACACTGGGTAAAGTAATCTGAGAGGCTGTTAGACCAGCAGTGCGCCGTGATGGAGAGTCCCTCTGTGACGGCCTTCTGAAAGCCTTCATCACCTCAGGCAGGAGCAGAAAGCTGCTGTTGGAGCTTGCTGGCCACTTGTGAGCAAACAATAGTACTTACTGCTTGGAATTGCTTTAATTTATAAAGAAATACACTTAGTGATTTTTTAAAAATTCTTTTAGAGCTATATTAGCAAATATATAGTGAACAGTTATATTAGTTCTTAAAAAATTCAATAGGACAAGAGGGAATAGTTTTAAATTGAGACAGGGGAGGTTTAGGTTGGATATGAGGAGGAAGTTTTTCAGCCAGAGGGTGGTGAGGCACTGTTCACAGGTTGCCCAAGGAGGCTGTGGATGCCCCATCCCTGCAGGCATTCAAAGCCAGGCTGGATGTGGCTTTTCAACCCAGGCCATTCTATGATTCTGTTAACCTACTAAGTTTTGCACATGCTTAATTTCAGACTTACCTAAGTATCATTGCCATAAATAAGTCTTAAAAACAGAATGAAAGGTCTTTAACTTCATGTGCTTGAAATTTTGACCAACTTTTCTACTGGCCATTCTTCTAACATTCTTCCAACTGCAAAACCAGGAAACAAAAGCCCAACCCTTTTGGGCTGACACCAGAGGAAAAGTATGTAATCAACTTAACAATCGCATTTTTTTTAAAAAAAAAAAAACAAACCACTGAATGTTGTGTGGTGTTTATCATAGAATGGCCTGGGTTGCAAAGGAGCACAATGCTCATCCAGTTCCAAACCCCTGCTGTGTGCAGGTCACCAACCAGCAGCCCAGGCTGCCCAGAGCCACATCCAGCCTGGCCTTGAATGCCTGCAGGGATGGGGCATCCACAGCCTCCTTGGGCAACCTGTGAACAGTGCCTCACCACCCTCTGGGTGAAAAACTTCCTACTGATATCTACTTCCTACTGATATCTAACCTAAACCTCCCCTGCCTCAATTTAAAGCCATTCCCCCTTGTCCTATCACTGTCCACCCTTGTAAACAGTCATTATGTTATACGTCATCCCTGCTGGAGGCGTATGAAGCAAGATGGTTTTTCAGCTAGCTCGTGTAATGGAAATTGGCTTTTGAGTGTGTATAATCAATGAAAATTATATAAAGGAATATTATATAATCAAATAATATTAAGATGCTATAACAATGAAAGAAGCAAGAGAGTCAGGCACAGCAAGACAAAGAGAATAAATAGGATACTTACCCATGCTGTGGACTTGCTCAGGAAACTCCAGTGGAGTGGATCTTCCAAAGAGAGAGAGATCCTTCCCCACTGGTAGTCAGCTCTTAAATGGGTCTAGGAGAGGTGCAGCCAGGCTCCACCCCTTCCTGCAGCACAGGTGAATTGCTTTCACCTGTGCTCCCAGGGCTGACTCATTGCTCGCCTCAGGTGATCAATCAGAGGTTCAGGCCGCGACTCAGCAGTTCCATACAGAGTGACAGAGGGAATTCCAAGAAGTATACAGTCCAAAATAAGCATGGTTACATGTTGTTTTCTCTGAGGGACAAAGGGGACTTTTACAATGCTCTTCATACCAACAAGTGTTGCAGGGACTCCCACGTCACGTTAGTCAGTCATGATCATGCAGCTGCAAAGCTCTTAAATGCTGCATCCATTCTCTTTGATATTTACTTTGTTGTTGTTGTGAAAAAAGCTTTTTAAATTATTCAGTGCCTCCCACAAACAGTGGATTTTTTCCCCAGAAAACACTTTTTGGTACTTCTGGTGACCAGTAGCAGCAATGAGAGTGGCACTGTGAGCGAAACCGTCGTAGGGATGGGATGTGATATGTTCATTCATTTTATCTCTGTGACAAATCATGCTGGACCAAGACAATGGTGGTGAAATCATCAGAGCCCACAAGTGCAGCTCTGTGCAAATTCTCCCACCATTTTTGTTATTAGCTAACATGGCAAGAGTGGAAATTTTAGTAGTAAGTTAGGACAAATCCTACTGATTTATTTCTAAACACAGCATCTATGATGCAAACCATTGCTAACTCAAAAATTCGTATTATGCTTTCAAATAACATGACCATGTAGTTGTTGTTATGTCAAATGTCTGCAGTGAAAATACAACACAATAAAAGTAGACCTTTTACTATCAAGAGAGTACAAATGGTGAATGACAAGTAGCTCAGTAGTTCAAGCTGTTTTTGTTTTGCAGACTTTGTGATACTTTTCTGCAAAGGTAGGTTAATATTCTTATCCCAGGGTTAGATGCTGGGCAGTGTGCAGTCTGAGGCTTTAGGATAAATTGTGGTGGTTGGTGTTTCAGAGGACAAAGAAGAGTTATTATTAAACAGGCAAAGGAGTGCCAAGTTGTAACTGTGATTGTGTTGTTCACAGAATGGCCAGCAGCCCTGGGAGTAATGCAGCCCTCGCTGATCAGAAAGGCACACACTCAGAAGTCTCTCAAGCAAAGAAGTCTCAGCATGCAGAAGAAGCCATCTTTTACAAGAACTGTCGAGCAGCTTATCTGACTGTTTTCAAAAGCAGTTTAGAAAATATTAAATCAAAAGAACAACTCACTTTGGGTAATTATTTGATTATTTTTTTCCCCTCTAACTGTTGTGTGTGATGGTTGCAGTGGGTAGTTTACTAATAGCAGCTAGTAATTCAGTAGTGAGAGTATCCCAGTGCATAACATCAGTACCTCCTGTAAGGAATTTGTAGTAGTTTTAGCTAGGGTTCACGTTTCAAGCTCTGGTTGCTGTATTTTTGGAGATATCCTTTATTTACCCGTTGTAAAATATATCACAGTGATTTCTCAAAGTATATAGAAACTACCATTCCTCAATGCTTTTCATTTTCTTCAAATCCTTAATCTTTGTTGCTGGATGGCTCATGGAACTGGTAGTAGTTACAGAGCTTTTCATCTCTAAATCACCAGTATAAATGAGCAAAAGTCAATACCAGCTGACAGCTTACAAGGGTTCATAAGTGAGCTGTTGAACACCACCAATTTTGATGGAAACATTGTTGCTTACAGGGGATGGGAAGAGGTACTGCTCTTTGTTTGTGACATTTCTGCAATACCTTCTTTCCTATCCCTGACGAATAACTCAATGAGTTGATACAGTTCATTTCTAGCTGACAATTGCCACAATAATCACAGAAAATCACCATGATAACTGGCATTAATTGGCACACAGGTTGGTAGACTCACGTGAGAAGTTTTGTCAATGTTACCACCCTTACTGATAACCTCACTCATCAATTCTAATCTACTTTATATATGTGAAAATGCCACCTTTCTGATACCAAATTTATACATGGACTATTTCAGCCATTGGTGTTTTCTAAGGATTCTTACTTTTATTAAAATTGTTACTTAATTAAACAGTTTCTATAGACCTTATATATAGTATCTACGTACAAGTGGTATTGCTGTCAGCATGACCACAGGGGGAAAAGAAATCTGAATGTTTCAGTTGTGCTGAATAAAGGTGATAGTAGAGAATGAAAGCTGTGGAAACTATCAAATTTGTTTTGAAAGTCAGTGGCATTTCCATGCTGCTTGCATGGAATCATTAAGCATAATTACGTAACCTTACCTGAAAAATGACAGCTGTTTGTTGGAAATCATCTTAATGACAGAGTAAGATAAGGAATAAGTAAAATATGACTCAGTAATAATATGTTTCGGTTGTGAAATAGATTTTGCTTTCTCATATAAAATTTCTCAAGCAAATATCATATCAGCTGTGCCATCTGTTGGATTTGTATTGTTGTGGGCTGTTTCTTACCATTTTTTTTTCTTGGTTTACTTTGGTTATGTCATGAGAAGGACTATTTGTGGTTGTCTGCAGTAGTATGGGATTGTGCTAGGGCTGAAACACACTTCCTGGGTGCCCTGTTTTCTACCTGGAGTTTTGTGGTTATGTGAAAATCACAGCTGGCTTTATTTGGAAGAAATACTTCCAGCTCATATTGTTAACAAAGAAAGTATGAGAACGTAAACCTTCAGTTAGATGAAAAGAACCCAAATGTGTAATTTTAAAAGTCATGGTTTTTATTTTGATCTTATGGGTTTCAAGATACAGCTCATAATACTCTTGGGACTGTTGATATTAAGGTTGTTTTCCAAAGCTCTCCTAATAGATTATGATGCCAGCAAGCAGTTTGTGTGTTGTGTTTGTGTTGGTGTACAATTGTTTGTAATGAAAAAAAAAAACAAAAAAAAGCCAACAACTAAAGGAAAAAAAGGCTTAAGGATGGTGCCACAGTGCCCTCAGCTGCCCTTAACATGTGCTCAATACCCAGCAGACTTGGACTCCAGAGTACACCAAGGCAGGTCCAGAACTGGGCAGCAGAGCTGTGGTCTCTGTGAACAAAGTGGGCTTGGTGGTGATGGGCTGATGGTTGGACTAGATGACCTTTGTGGTCTTTTCCAACCTTAGTGATTTTGTGACTAAAAATCCATGCTGTATTATCAAATCATTTACTTAGGTCAGAATTCTAGTAACCACTTTTCTTTTTTTTCTGCATATGTGAGGAAACATTTTTCACTAATTGCTGCATTGTCCATGGCTAAAATGCAGTAAGTATCTGCATCTAAAACCATCAGCACAAAAGCTCGGGGTATGTCTCTGATGCACTGATTTTTATTGTTTTTAAATTTTTGGTAGCTTCTTTCCTTATGTTGATACATGAAATTCTATGCATCAGCAAACACATTCTTTCTGCATACAACTTAGCATTATCAGGGCTTTCTAGGCTGTAATAAAAGTACTTTTATAACATCCTAATGATAGTTTTGGATGGTCTGGATTTTAAAATAGGAGCAGTGTGAACAAGTGGCATCTCTTTTATATGTGGTTTAGCTTTCATCTCTATCCATACCCTGCTGCTGTGTGCTTACCAGGTGTTTGGGCATTTCGGTTTCAAGGTCAGCTCAGGAAGGGCAAATAGTAGATCAGGCTCCCACTCCTCAGAGATGTAAGAACCTTCTTCTTTTATAATGTGAGAGTACTGAGAGTTACTGTAGTCTTATGTTGCAATTGAAATAAATTCTGGCATTTATCAAGTGAGCATGCTCCATTTGAAGCAGCTGTGACTGAACGATGTTTGAATAATAATCTGAACAGCAATATTCACAGAGAGATTGGCCCTGCAAAATGTTACTTTGCATACTGTATTATAAATGTATACAATATTGCATACTGCAGTATTAATTGGTGTGGTTAGCAGAAATGCTCTGTAAAGAAGGATAAATAAATACAAACTTGAGAGGTGTAGTGAATAGCAAGCACTGCTATGTCAGGCTATGTAGAATGTAGTGTTGCCATGTATTTGAAGAATACTCAGTTAAATATAAGTTAATGCTGCACTGCACTGACCTTTCAGGGAGCTCTGCTATCCATGGAACCAAACACAGAGTCAGTAACCACCTTTCCTTGTCTGACCTTGGTACTGAAATCCAACAATAGCTGCGTGCCCAACTTTAGCATGGGTAAAGATGTAAGCTTTGCTATGTTCTCCTAGCTGCTTGTAGAGGGGTCAGGGCAGAAACCTTTATTTAGTCCTTGGCATTCAGTCTGAGATTAGCAACAAAGGTGTCTGGTTTTGTTTGTTTGTTTTTATGGTGACGCTGTTGCCTACTGAGCATTGTAGCAATGCCACCGCCTCATTGCGGGGATGCTGCTGAACTGTTCTCAGCTGGTACGGACTTGGTCAGCAGCCAGCTGGCTAAAAGTCAAAGTGCCAGCCTCGATAAATGTAGTCTCTTTTATGTTTTCCTAAAACACTTTATTAATGGGAAGATTTAAAAGCGTATCTCCAGTTTCAGGTAGGCTATGTTTGAACGTAGTCTAACGTCATACCTGCTCCACACTGGAAATTGATAAAAAACTGCTTTCAGGAAGGGCTTTTGGGAGGCAGGCTAGATCCAGCTGATTCATTTTGAAGAACACCAAATGTAGGAGCAGTGTCATTTTCCCTTTCCATTTAAAATTCATGTTGCATAATATGAATTGATAAGTTCGAATGTATAGATGTGAGTTAAAAGATTGGTTAAGATAAATCTACACAAGAACTTAATTCTTGGCAGAGTGAATGGGAAAACACAGTAGAAACAGCTTTCACTCTGCAAGCTTTCACAAGATATTGATATTAAAGCAGAGGATACAGACAATGGGCTGAATTGTACACTTGTCATTTAAGGAGGCTGTCTTTGAAGTCATGGGTATTTTGCTTCATTAAGGTTTTGACTCTGTTGATTTTATTTAAGGAAGTCATCCCACTGACCTTAATAGAACAGTAGCAGTGAGTAAGCAGTAAGTGAAAACTGCAGGTCAAAGCTTTTAGCCAAAAACAACAACAAAAACAACAAAATCAAACAACAAAACTGTGTATTTTTTTTCTGTTGTAAGAATATTGCACTCTGGCTTCTTCTCAACAATGTGGCACGTGTCATCTCTGTGCTGGATCATGGTTTGTGAGTGCAGAAGAATGCAGGCCTAGAAACAGAAACTGCTCCTTTCATGACCCCTTATCTGCCCCTCAGGCTGCTCTGACCTGTTTGGTACAAAGCACAGAATTGAAGGCTGGGGAAAGTCACAGTCAGCCTCTATCAGCAGAATGCAGGATTGAGACTATAAACAAAACTGTCTTTTACAGCTGGTTTTCCCTTGAATTGATGAGTCTTGAAAATACATGTAAAAAAAAATCAGAACACGGGAAGTGGTTAAAGGATGTTTTGAGACAACTCCTTTATTGGCTGCTGGAATATGGGCTTAATGTTTTGTTTTATTGTTCAGTACTTCAACAGGCTGGAAGAAACCCATCTCAGAAGACAATTAATAAATACTGGACTTCACAAACAACCGCGCTGAATTTTGATGATTTTTGTACTATTTTAAAAGAAGAAACACCGGCTGCAAAAACTGAATTGCTTGAAGCATTTGGGAAAATAGACACAGATAACACTGGTTATATCTTACATGATGAACTTCATAAACTTCTGACAACAGTAAGTATCAGTAGGAACTTAATTATCCATTCTTAGCCTTTAATAGAGATTTTGGGAATTAGTGCAAGTATTCTGAGTGTGTAAGCATGTATTACTGATCAAAACAATTAATAACTGACTCATGGTGGTGGTGGTTTTTTTTTTTTCATTGCTCAAAAGTGAGTATAAGACAAGTTCAAGAAGATGTGGAGAAGAGTAAATTGGAAAAGAAGGAAGAAATAATTTGTGTGATATATTTGTTGTGGTTGACCCAATTAACAATAATTATTTGTTAACTTCCATCATGCTGGCAGAACATTCAATCCTCACTCAATATGAACAAAAAAACGTAGTTGCAATGGCAAGAAAACATTCTTTATATGGTAGAAAACAGAAGTAACAGATATTGAGTGCTCCTGTAGTTGTGCCATAAATATCTATACATCCTGAAACGTGACATAAAGTCAGTGCATTGCTTTATACAAACCCAGACTGAAGAACTTACTGGACACGCCTGCAGCAGCAACTGGAGCTGCTCCAAGTGGGGAGGATGAGGATTTGATTTGTAGCAATGTGGTACCAGGACCATATGTCCACATCACGTTCTTACCAGCAATGAAGTTCACATTAGATTTTGGTCCTGATTGACACCATGCATCTATAGCTAAAAAGTGACCTGAAGTAGATTTCTGTACGGGAGTTGCATGTTGCTGTGTCATGCTAACAGCCCCATCCATCTGTGTAGAGGAAATTGCTGGAGGACCTTTGTGGAAGGCTTGGTTTCTTCCTGACAGATATAACTCACACCCCTGTGGCAAGTGGGCCGCTCAAAATAGTGATGCAACTTCAAATGTGGTTCCAAAAGGAGAGAAACTGCTTTGAATTCACACTGATTCCAAATATAAACAGGTCCAAGGCAAATTCATGTGTGAAATAAGCCTTCTAGTGAATTGAACTAAACTGCAGATACAGACTCATCTACTGTAAGTGTAAGAGGGTAGCTTATGAGTGAAAAAGGCTATTAAGAAGCTAGAACTTGTTTGTTTGCTGTATTATAAGTGAGAATGACTGGCAACAGGAATTGGCCAGTATATGGAAGATCTGTGATTAATTTAAGTGTCATTCACAGGGGCTTTCCAGAAGGCAGCACAAAAATGTATAAACTGATGCAGTTCATCTGTTCAGTATTTAGTAATGTTGCAGGGACATATTTTTTATAATGTTGATCTCTACTTTGGTGAGTCAAACAATTTAAGGGTATTAAAATAATCTTTCTTTGTGTTTTAGTAAACGTGATGTAGGTGGTCAGTATTCTTGATTAGGAACTAAAATTAAGTTGGCTTTTCATTGCAGGAAGGTGAAAAAATGACTTTGGATGAAGTGAATGCAATAACTAAATTACCTGATTTTAACTGTAATGGCAAACTGGACTACAAGAAGGTAAGGCAAACATGTTCTTGGTTATGGCAGCAATGGTATTACTAAATGCAGTCTATACTGTTTCTGTGTGTTGGTCCATTGATGACCTTACCTCAGCCCACCAGCTGCCTACATTCTGAAACATAGTATGTATTCTGCTACATGTTTCTGTTTCCCTCACTTTATCTCACAGTATACAGCTCTTGCTGTTACCTCCTGCAAGTGAGCCTATTGTAATAAACACAGCCTAACAGTAAGCATGAAGCCAACAACATGTGTGAGGATAAGAGTGAATGGCAGGATGAAGAAGAAAATTGACAGCAAACTTAGCTAACCTGTGAGAGCTGCTGTGTCTGATATTTCATAATTCTTAATGTGGGGGACATTATTTTGTATATTGAGCACCTAATTTTGAAGATGCAGCACCTTATCAGTTATTCTGACAACGACTGTAAGCAATGACTAAGCTTTGAACTGAATAAACAGCCCACAAATATTTGCACATAAATATCATTTCATAGAGGAAAACCAGCTCCGTATTAAAATCCTATAAAAATAACACTCTTCAAATGCCATAAGAAAAAATAAATCATCTCCTGGGTTGAAAAGTTCTTGGGCTGGAATATTTTCATTCCATATTTCCACCTCCTTGTTGAATCACAGTTCTGTTTTGCTGTCTTACTTGAGTAGTCACTCTGATTTAAAGAAATTAAAATTAGTATTGTGAGTAAATGTAGTAAGAAAAAATTCATTACATCTGTGCTTTGATTGCTAATGTTACAGTTTTAATTTTTAAAACTGTGAGAAAGAATGTTTTGCTTACTGCATTATCACAGAATCATGGAATCATCATTACTTTCCTTTGTCTCAAGTTTTGTGACTTATATATGACAACCAGTGAGCAGTGCTGCAGGACTGCACTAGAGAAACTGGAGGCTGATGATCGATTGAGGCATCGGCAATTTGGAAGTGAAGCTGAAACTTCCCCTGAAGGGCTCACACTGCCAGTATCAAAACCATCACTGAAAACCTTGAGGAAAACTGACCACAAACCAGCACCAACCAAAGGTATTTATTTTTCATGTTGGGAGCTTTAATTTTTTTTAGAGATCACTTTCTGAGTTAATGAGCAATTGAGCACCATTTAATTTTTAATTTTTCTCAAATAAGTGAGGCTGTAATATTTATTCATTTCCACTGTGACAATTGCCTAAGTGTCTCAGTAGAATATCTGACCCATGTTTAAATGGACTTGGGCTGAATCTATTATCTGAAGCTGTCAAATTCTTAAAGGTGTATTTGGTGGACTCTCACATGATTCTCACAGACCAGAGAGAAGATAGAAAAGGAATGTTCAGGTATTGTAACAGCAAATTAATTATTTCCTTCCCACATCAGAGATGAAACCTTAAGCATCTATCAATAAGCAGTGTGTTTCAATTGTTGAGGCCACTTTTCAGGAAGAACATTAAACTCATGCTGGTTGTGCTTGAAGTTGCAAAAACTTTGCCAAACAGGAGGAAGTCTGATAGCTAATGGATTCCAGAGGTACCATATATGAAATATTTATTTATGTATGAGATGTGTGCTGTTTAAGTTACTTCAGTTCTAAGAAATACTGAAGAAGAGCAAAGCTAACAAAAGAACCATGAGGGCTGAATGTATGTAGCTAAAGCATCAACCGTACTAGCTGTAAGGTAAGGAATCAGGAAGTAAAGGCCTGCAAGTAACTTTCTTGGGCAACTGTGGATTAGAAGCAGGTTAAACTTCTCCACTTAGGGCAGATTTACTGTGATTCCAAGGGAAGTTGAATCCCGTGGTAACAATTTCTTCTCCTTCAGGCAGATTTAGAGTCCAAGGTTCTGCCATCTGTATGCCTGTTCACCTGGGATGCACAGTCAGGAAAGTAAAGACATTTGGCCAATGACTGATTGTGTTAAATTATTTTAAGTGAAGTCAGCTTATCAGATAAAGAATCTTGTTTTCCATTGTTAATCTTTGTGAATCCATAAAGGTTTTATGAGAAGTATCACTAGAAGTAGGATAAATAATGTCATTGTATCTAAATATCTGTGTTTATAGGTGATAGCAGAACTTCTTCAAGACCAGCTCAAAGCTGCAAAGCATCCAGTTCTTCCACCATCAGCGTGTGTGCCAGTAGCAACAGAAGCACAAACCTAATTGAGCCGAGCACGATGAAGGTATCATGTAAGCTGGTCTGCTGAAATTATGCTGTTTTCCTCTAGACAGTTATGGTATTGCATTTTAAACAAGAAAGCGTTTTTCTCTGATTTTTAGCTTATGTTTTATTAACAGTTTGTCAGGGGCAGCTATAAACTATCAGAAGGTTTCCTGATATTATTATCAACAGTTTCATATACTGTTGGTTTTGCTGACATCCAGTTATTGAAAATAATTTTTCAGGTGTGAAGGTTTAATAGAACAAAGTGTGTTTTTTTATAAATGAAACCACTGCTGGAGAAAACGTTTAATGACTTTTTGAGAAATTTAAAATTGCATAATTTATTAGGTTGGTGAGAACTTCAAATGCTTAAGTAGTCTGAAAGATTGTGTATCATAAACCTTTATTTGAAAGGTAATTGGAAATAAATAACAGATCTCTGAGCATATTCTGTTTGTTGGGCATTAATTTGTAAATATATACTGTAGACTGAAAATATTGATTTTTAGTTAGATTAATATGTTCTATCAGTATTTTCTTTTAGATCAATCACTCATTCAATATAAATTCCTGTGGGAGAAAGACAACAAAGTCACTTTGCTAAGTCAATATTTGTAGAGTGTTAATATTGATCTTTTTCCTTTGTTTTCCCTTTCTAGACTGAACCTTTACTAGTTTTCTTTCAACAGAAAATAATAGCTGTAGAAATATAAAACATTAACTGGAAACTGCTAGGATACATTAAAAATGTGCACCTCGAGACCTCTGTATAAAAGGAAAAAAATGGTTATGGCCACATAGTATAACTGCTGCTAGAAAACTGAACTGATTGTTCTCATGAGTTACATTTTTGTTTCAAATAACAACTCTGTATTTGTTATTGAACTCTGAAGTCCTTTATATCTTTGACATTGCTATACAATGACATTTGTTCTATATTAAAATTTAAAAACATAATCTCTAAGGAATTTTTTGCAGTCTTGTTTTGGTATCTGGACCTCCATGCAATTTAACCTGCAATTTCACCTTGTTCAAATGTGATATGTAGTGCATGAAACCATTGCGTGCTTTCCCAATATTGGATCCTTCTTTCTTTGAATGAGCTGGTAAGACCTGACTGAAGAAAAAAAAAGAGGTGCAGTTATTGAATACTAGCAATAAGCATCATATAAGAACTAAATCTATCAGTAAACATGAGCAAGTGTAAATTGTACTACTAAATTTGTTAGCCCTAACTATTAAGGAACCAATACAAGCTCTGTCAAAGTCAATGAACATGTACACAGTGAGCCACTGAGCTGTGGATTGGAATCAGGTACTCAAAAATTCAGCACATTTATCTTAAGTGCAAAAAATACACTTATTCTGCATATCAGATAACGATAGCTCTAGAAATATAAAGCATTGACTGGAAACTGCTAAGATGCATTGAAGATGTGCACCTTGAGGGTACTGTATAAAGGGTAAAAATGTATAAATGGGGAAAAAAACAGAAGAGACTGGAGACGTAGCATCCTCTCAGGCAGATTGTATCCACTTTGCATGGCACTTGGCTTGCCTTTTAGCACCCCTGTTACACTGCTGTGTGTTTAAGAAATTATTAGACAGATATGTATTTTGTCTGCAGTTAACCTGTCTTGTTGGGGCAATAAGAAATTACTGCCATCATAAGGTTGGATGAAGCTGATTTCACTTTTTTGACAGTGGAGTGGAAGTCGAAACAACTGACCTGTTGGGCTTCTTGTGTAGCTGGCTGACATATAACTGATACATAGCTGATGGAGATTGCAAATCTCTGCAAAATATTCTTCTTGTCAGTATCAATCAAGTTTTAAAAAGTCAACAAAATAGATAAAGCAATGATATGTTCCAAAATCTCTCAGCTATGGTAGCTATGTTGTCCCTGCTAAAAAATCTCAACTTCTCATTCACTCTGCTGAAGTCAGTGAAAGACATGTATGCACAATGCTCAGCAAAGGAAATGCCTGAGGAAAGCCTTGATCTTGAAAGACCAATAGAGTACAGCAGTTCTGTTAGAAGGGGACCTTCAAAGATTATCAAGTCCAGCATCTTCTGGGCTGACCAAAAGTTAAAGGGTATCACTTAAATCCCTCTTGAATGCTGATAGGTATGGGGCATCAGCCACCTCTCTAGGATTCCTGTTCCAGTGTTTGCATCCTTGTGAAATTTCTGCCTCCATTCATATACCAAAGCAGCTTGGTGCAATTGAACTAGCAAGAATTTTCGTGCTTATTCATCAGGTATTGCACAAGACAAAGCATTGAACTGAAGTTCTTTAACTGCAGGAAGAATTCCTTTCACAAACGTTACTTTTTATTTGTAATTATGCATCAGTGCACAGACAGTTTCAATAATGACTTAAATTGTAATGACAATTGTATGCACATTATTTGGACAGTGACCAGCAGTAGCAGCAGTGGTACTCCCTAATGTTTCCAGTACAAGCATTTCCCACTGTTTTAGCTATGATTTGATAACCTTGTGCTTTTATATTTCACATCCCCTGTTTTGCATTGAAGCTGCATATTAAAATCAAAACAGAAGATCACCTTTTAGCTGCGTTACGTTTACATTCCTGTTTGTGGTCTGACAAGGATATTTTGAGAATATAGCACCACCTTATGCTCACTGCAAGAATAACAGTTTAGGATTCCTAAAGCACGGTCAAACTTTTGCTTCCTGTTTCTCAGATCTTAATCAGAATGGCACTTCTTGAGGTATTTCCCTGCTTATCTGGGTAGTGTTCTCTTGTTGTAACAATATCTGTCCAAATGCAAAACTGTAAAAAATGCAGTCATCCATCTGAAATAACAGCCAGGAATATGGAAGATAAAGAGGGCAAAGCTACTTGCTTGGGACTGTGAGCTGATAATTGAAGACTGCTACGGCAGTGAGAAAGGGGAAATAGGAAGTGTTAGAATCATTTTTATATATGAAAACTGTTAGAGTATCTTTCTGAACAGCTAGAGTTTGGATGGCTGCTTGAACATTGTATTGTACACTTGGCTTTTTGACTTTGAGCTGTTTGGATTGTTATTTTTTCAAACCATTTAATAAGGTATAAAGCTTAGAGACTGTGGAAACTAACAAGTTATCTCAATTGTGTCAAGTTTTAAGGAAGGATCCCAATTTGTTACGTATTAATTTGGACAGGACTAAGGGTTCTTAAATCGACGAGTCCCTGAGAAATTTCTATTCCTATGGAATGTAGGCTTCTGAACAGAACATTTAAATTTAGGATCAGAGCTGCATGTATTCCTAACTGTGTTAGCAACCTGGGTACAGTTCACTAGGAAAATCCAGTTCTTGTCTGAGACCTTTTGATCACTGACTGTAAAGTATCATCAAATGAGCACGAAGGGATTGTGATGAGAACTGATTCTTTAAGAGGTGTGAAATGAAACCTGGGATTCTGATGAAGGCTGTTTGGCCTTAAGTGGAGCAAGGAGTCAGTCTCTTTACTGGATGTTGCATGCAGACCTCTGCTTTTATCAGTTCATTTCTCAAATCAGTGCAAGTTTACCTCTTGAACTGAATATTCTGCACAGTTACAGCCACTTGTATAGAACTCTCTGTTGAGATTACACTGAAAGATTCCTTCTGCTAGGCTATGCTCAGAAACTTAATTTTCTATTGCTAGGAAAGTAACTAGAAATAATGGATTTAATCAAGACCAAGGGAGTGAAATCAAGAATGTCCTCCTTTCCTTATGGCATAGAACATGCCTACAATGACTTTATTTCTCTTCAGCTAAATGCTATTAGAAATTGAAAATTGGGGCCTGCTATTGGGAAAAAAAAAATAGTTTTGAAGCTTGTAGCAGTTTTAACATCTCAGTAAGATCATGGCTTCTTAAAGGAGGCTCTTCTCAAACACTGCTGTCTTCTGTTTGTGTCTTTCCAATGGCTGTGGCAGAAGACAAAAAGAAACACTTGATTTTACTACTACCTGTGCTTGTCATTTAAGCAAAGAACTCCTCATTGTTCAGCTAATCCCTTATGGTTTTTTGCTTGATTGTTCTTATGGAACTAATGGAGAACAATCCCAATGTCTTGGTGGTAAATCACACAGCTGAGAGTCTTTCATGAATTCAGTTTGGTTCTTCACGACAATTAACATTTCATTTTAACCATTTGTGATTTGATGTAATCTGTGCATATGTGGAGTGTTTTCACAAGTAAAGCAATGTTACCAGCTTGTCTGCAGGAGTTGAAAAAGACTGAGAAAATTCATTTAAAAAAGAAAAGAGAAGATGGATGCTACACCTTGGGGCATCTTTTTATGCAGCCTTCCTTAAATAATCAAATTAATGTATTTTACAGGATGAACTTCTGTCTTAATCTTTTATTAAGGCAACATTTAATGTTCACTTGGTTTCTAGGAATGGCAATGTGCACAATCCAAAGGATGCTTCTACCTAGAGGAAGATGGTGAAATCGTTAGTCATAAGTACAGGCTGCATTTACCTCAAAGGTCTACAGTGTGCATAACTATCAAACCTTTACACCTTCGTCAAATAGAAGGTAAAAATATTTGTATCTCTTCAGAGAATTTTCCTTTCTAAAAAACACATATTTTTTCCCCACTGATACATCTTCCTCTCCTCTCTTGCAGTATTTAGTGATATTTTGCAAACATCATAATACTGCAATATTTTTCTCTGTTGGCAAAGTCCTATTAAAAATACAAATTACTTGCCATACAATTTTTTCTCCTTAGTTATTTTGTTCTCACTGTGTGGGCAGTAAAATAACATCAAACTGTGTTGTCTTTCTTTTTGTCTTGCATTATTAGACTCCAAACACAAAATGTATTTGTATACTTATTTTTAACTAAGTATTTTAAGATGGGTTGGTAATTGAAATTGGCAATAAACTTCACTGCAAATAATTAACTGAAAGTAGTAATTCTCCAGTTCCAACCTGGCTGAAATGGGAACCTTATCAACAGACTTCTAATGGTAAATAAAAGTGATCTGAAGCTAAATGATTTGATAGTGTCTCAGTGTTCTGCTTATAGCTTTTGTTTTCTTTTTTTCACGTGTCAGCTTCTTAAATTGTGCCTTTGAATTGTTCTGCTGCAAAATTATTCAGGCATTCCTTGTAAATAGAAGAGTAACTGTTTGTGCACAAATTCTTCTTTTGCACATGTATAGAAATATCTTTGTATTTGGTTGTGAAGAGGAAGGCATAATACTGTTATGTAAGGGAAGTATTTCTCTTTTAGCATGACAGTTACCTTTTTATGAGATTCAGAATATCTTCAAATTTCCTACAAACTTGTTTGCTCCTTAGTATCCTGAACTCCTAACTGCAGAAAATGGAGTCCCTCCATTGCATGTATTCTTTTGCTGTAGCCTATTTAACTTCAGGAACACTAAATTGCCCATTGATTGACTGCTCTCAAGGACTGAGCAGCTACAAGAAATCAAATTGATTCTAATAGCACCAATCAACATATTTAAGACCTTCACTGCAGTCATCCTGACCTATGATGCTATGTATGGGGGTCTTGCTGTTCAAATCTTAAAATTTACTTATCAAAAGATGTGTAACTCTGAAAGATATCTCTAGCTTTTGCATGTAACATAAGTTTCCAGTTAAGAAGAGTTTAACAATGTTTTATGGAATGTCAGAAGAGATTCTAAGTTTGATATTGCCCTTAATTGCAAACATATTTGTATAAAGAAAAGTAATAAGAAATAATGTTCTACTAATTGTAGAAAATAATGCAAATATCTTCCTTAACTATCAAAGTGTTTAATATTTGAATGATTAATAGCAATCATTATCTGTAAGACAATTACATGACATGTAACAGTTTTTCTGATTTGTCTAAATAGGAAGAAAATGTTGATAGCATATAATGGTTTCTTTTTTTTTTTTTTTTAAATCTTACCTTAACAGAGACCAATGCTATAAATGCAATGGAATTATTTACTTTGGGATTCAAAGAACAAACAATTTCGTGAAATTATTAAGAATTTGTTTGGGGATTTTTTTTCTTTTTAGGAAAATCTTGTCACTGGTTGTCAGTGGATACGGTGTTGTATGTTCTGAAGGAAAATGAAACCCAAGAAAATCTGCAGCTTGTCTGCTTTACTGACCACCAAAACAAAGAGGTTAGATATTTCTGTTAAATTCCTAGATTATTTTTTATATCTTTATTGTACCTGTTTTTGCTACATGGGTGAGTTTCCGTGTGTTTGGAAAGAGTTCAGAACTGTTCCTAATCAGACTAGAGGAGAGGAGAAGCATTCTGTGCATGTTGCCTTCCAAAACGGGCAGAATTTATGCAAGGTGATGTAATACTGTCTTAGTTCTGACCTTTGGATGGGCTGAATTGCAAGCCACGTGTTTGGAAATTTAATGAAGTTCCTGAGAGGGCCATATTATCAAGTAGCATGTTGGCAGGTATCCCCAAATTGCTGGCTCTCTGTACAGATACTCTGTGGAAACTAAGTTGCATTTCTGCACGCTCAAACCCAGAGTTCAGAATTATAACATTTGTTACAATTTCCTTTCCTTTTCTTTCTTTCTTCCTGACATATATATGATCTTAAACTTTATGGTTCACAGAATATTCTTGCACTGTAGCAGAAAGAAGGGAAGAGAGATGGCAGAGTGCAATGACTCTCTCCTTCCAAGCAACAGGGAAATCAACTTGCTTCTTAAAACCTGTCACTTGTGAATTTTTACATAGGAAGTTTTTGTTGCTAGTTTGAGCAAACCTGATAGAACAGGAGGGGAATGCAAAACTGGGTGGGTTTTTAGCATAATTTTGGCTGCTTTTGTATTAAAGTTTAAGATTTGAAGAGAGCTGAAAATCTGAAAGATGATGGGTCTGCTATTAGACACTTCCAGTTGTTCTTCCCTCATCTCTGGTCCTGAATAATTTTTTAACTTGTAATGCAGTGCAATTAGGAGTAGTTTTGGGGCCTTCAAAAAGGCATCACATGGCTTCTTCCATGTTTGTATTTGTCTTAAGGAAAGAAACTAGCAGTGTTTTCAAGTTATTAATCAATTATGTATAATTATTACTGCTAATAAAAGAAGGTATCATTTGACAAGTAACTTACAGGTTTGTCTGTCTTCCTTTAAGAGTAGATGTTTGGATGGAAAGGGGAGCTTCCATCAGGAGTTTACTGGCTACTCCCATTCACAACAGGCTGTAGGCTGAAAAAGGTAAAAACACCAATTGCTGGAGAAGCAAAACTGGTGTACAGAGATGAAGATGGTGAACTGGCTCTTACCAAAGAGTTCCGGTGAGTCCTTTTCCCAGATAGGTGTGGTCACCAATACAAAAATATGCACTCCAAATAACATCTAGCTTTTTAGTTGCTAAAATACAGCTGCATAGAATATTCTCAAGTAAATTCTTTACTGTATACCAACAGTGTTTGTAATTACTGAAACAGTAGAGAAAATGAAAATGTTTGGAAATGGTTCTGCTTTTTTCATCTTTTAGAGCAGCTTTATTGGATATATTTGAAACAATTGATTTGGATGGAAATGGCCTTCTGAGTTTGGAGGAATACAATTTCTTTGAACTGAGAACTAGTGGTGAGACATGTGATGAGGAAGTGTGGGCTATATGTAAGGGTAAGTCTGTTGCTGTGCAAAATACAACTACTTAGGACTATAAATCTGTTTGCAAACTGTTGTCTACAGCACCCTACTATGTATATAGTTTAGGAGGACTGAGTATTTTGTAGCCTATTCCAAGAACACATGTATATATTAATATCATGTTTTACTTTTTCAGTCTCCTGTCCCTCGTTTTGCTTTCTTCTGGTTTATGTGCCACTGTCCTTCTGTTAAGAAAATTCTTCCTATTGCTAATTGCAAAGCTCTGTAGATTAAAATTGTTACAGCTGCCAAAAACTACAGGTTTTCTAAGCACAGATCATATAGTGAATTGGGCTATAACAGATATTCATTGATTTAATCTCTTTTCTGCAACTTAAGCTGATACTGCTTTCATAGCTCATAAGGTGTTGAGAGGGGCATTTAATCAGCGTGTATAAGATGCTTTAAAATGAGGGCATCTTATTATGCTTGCTTAGAAAAGTAGACACTAGAAAATAGCTGTTGCAACTATATATTTTCTTCAGATGTAAGCAGTTTTTTCATTAGAAATCTGTCTTTTAAAGGTTCATATATGGTGTGTCAGTTTGTCCATATTGTGCTAGATGAGAGCTGTGAGATTTTGAGGTTCTGTAAGTCAGATGAGGATGCTGACAGTTAATTTTCTTTCAGCTGTACTTTAGTTTCTGTCTGCAGATTCATGTCATCAATGTTACTGGACATCCTGCAGCTTGCAGGAGCAATATTGGGCCACAAACATCAATTATAAAGAAAAAAGAAATTCTGTGGCATTGCTTTAACCCTGCACATATTTACCTCCTAACAAGGCTAGAAAAATGTAACTACCAGTGGCTGTATGCTGCTCTGGTAACACAGTGCATTAAATCAGTGGTTTCAAAGCATTGGCAGTTTATCTGAAACTAATGGACAAACTGGAAATTTAGAAGGTGTTGTGTGTAAACTAGAAGTTTCTGTACAAAAAATAGTTCTTCTGCAACCTGGGTCTGAAATGCCAGTATGGTATGCCATTATATATCAGCCCATGCCATCTGTTAGATATAACTCCTTTGTAGGCAATGACACATTGATTAATTTAAGCTAAAAAATACTTAAGATCTGGCAAGTCCTGCCAACTGTTTCTTCCCAAATCACTCAGATATATTGGAGTTTTTTCCTGAATTATGGAAAGATCATACAAAAATACTTCCCTATAAATCAATGTCTCTTTCGTCCCTTTCCATGTTATTCCTCACTGTATGACTTTGTCAGTGTTATGTATCTGTGAACTAGTCTCAGTGTGAATAGGAGGAGTGTGTGTGATATGTTTAAAAGAGGAAAGAAGAGAATATGGTGAATGTATTACCTGGTCGTTAATCAGTTGAAGGGTTCAGACGAATATTATAAATCTTGACACCAAAGTTACAGCCATTTATTATAGCATCTGTACCCTTGGATAGATTTATTAAACTGGTAATCCCTTTTTAATAATATATAGTAAAGATTTAGCATTGTTATGAAGATGAGAAAACCATTTTTAAGAATCGCTGACACAAGGACATTTCAATTATGTGTTTGCTGACATTAGATTGGTCAATCTACCATATTCCATCAAAAGAAGGGTGCTAGGATTACTGGCATTTTATTGCTTTTTAAGAACTAAGTAAATCACTCCTATATCAAGGACCTGAAGCACTAAGGATGCTGGCCCCATCAGACTTTCATTTCCCGTTCCTAATAAACCCTTTTCTGCAAATCTCAACTGCAACAGATACTGCTAACAAAAAAAAAAAAGAAAGAAAGAAAGAAAGAAAATCAATATGAATTCTTTCTCTTTGGAAATCTCATCCTCTTTTAGGATGCACCCTTCTATACAAAGGTTGCAGTTTCTTGGCATTATCTAAAATCCACAGTGAAGCCCTGCAGAAGGCTGGCATCGAGTCAAGGGCATTCATTCCCAAAGCATGCTTAGAGAGCCTGAGGCTGCAAGATGGCTCTGTCTTGTAAATCTCATTAAGTACAAGTTTAGCTTTGGAAGGACAAAAGGTGTTTGCAGAGAGAACAGACATTGTTTTAGTGTTACCTTGCATTTCTTTTTAAACAGAGAATTTTGATATGAAGAAGAATGAACTAACAAGACAAGGATTTATGGATCTGAATCTCATGGAAGCCAATGACCGTGAAGGGGATCCTAGTGACCTTTGGGTCACTTTATTGTCACTGGGCTACAATAAAGCATTAGAAATGACAGAGGTATGATAGCTGTGCAGCAAAAGTAATTGCTTTACATACAACTTGCTGCATGTGTTTAATTGCAGTGCTGTTTCTGTCCATCATAAACCGACTTTGGTAGATCAGTGTTCCAACCCAAATGCTGCTGATACAGGGTTTACCTGATAATTTTTCAGTCACTATAGCATTCTGCTTCTTAGAATAAATGCCACCATTGTAAAACAGGATTTACCTTTTGCCTTAGACAAGGCAGTATTTTGTGGGATAGCAGCAGTGGGAATCTTGGGTTATATCCTATGAAAACATTCACAAACCTTGCTGGTAAGCAGTGATAAGAAGATAGTGGTAGTAAACTGTGATCTGCCAGCAAGCATACAAAACTCAGAACTTAGCCACTTTCCTGACCCAAGCTGCAGCAGAAACCATCAGTCATGGTATAAAAGAAAAGTTACTGTAATGCAAACAAGTGATTACTGCTTACAGTAACTTAAAAACTAACACAAATATCAGATGGAGAATGAGGTGATAGGAATGGATTTCTAAAATATTAGAGTGTGTTCTATTAGCTAAGGTAAGATAACTTCAACCCCACCCCAAATATGACTCAGAGCTAATAATTTATAGTCGTGGCTAAATGGTGCCTTACACAACAGTGTCTGAATGGGTTCAATATAAATTTGAGTGAAAGAGCTTTGGGTGGCACTGTTTGCTTAAAGGGCCAGGTGTTATTTCTCTGATTTAATTATGTGCTTATAGATTCTTTTAAAAACCATATCAGCATTGGCATTAATAGTTCTTACTAAAGGAAGAGGGAATTTTGAATGAAGAGGGGAAAAAATTGAAAAAATAGTTAAAGACATAAAATATGCAGATAATTTCATAATTTATCTTGTTGGTTTTTTTTTTCACAAGAAAAGCTGATTTGTTTTTGTTTGTTTAGTCTTAACAGACTTATAGTATTTATTTAGCTTTAGTTAAAATAGCTTAGGACCATATGGTTATATAGTCCCCATATAAAAACGTGTATGAAACATAAATGCAGACCCAAAAAATCCAGTATGGTAGAGAAACTTTGGTTGGCTGTCCCTGAAAATCCTGAGATTGCGGTGAAAGATTTCTTAAGGAGTGGCACTTTCTCCTTTTCCTACAAGTAGGCCTAACATAGCAACTACAAAAGTGTCTTTCTGCATTGAACCCATAAGAGGGAGCTATACTCTAAGAAAGAAGATTTTTGGGGAGGTTTTATCACCTTAGAAGTTTCTTTCAGGTATGTTGTGTCTTATATTAGCTATGGCTTTATGTCTATAGTTCTTGCTTTACAAAGGAAAATGTAGCTTTCTGAATAATTTAGTTACTCATATAACAGGGTATATGTACTAAGTGGTGTCTGTAATTTAACCTCTTACTTCCTGGTTTTTCAGTGATTTAAAGTGTGATATTTCAGGAGCGTTGAGCCTATCAAGTTCAAAGCGGAGCTGAAAAATCCTAGTGGATTCCTGTAGCCTTTTGAAAGGCACCAAGGTGCTGTTACTTAGTCTAAGAAAAAGTAAACTCCTGGTTGTTAGACACGCTTCTCTCAGCTGTGATGTTGTGAGAGCAGTGTGCTTACTGCAACGTGGCAGATATTTAAAATCCATGTGAAGTGGCACAGATAGTGGAAGAGTGACAAGTGAAGGATATTGGTTTATTTCAGAAACTGAAATAAATTAGTACTTCATATTCATTCCTGCATGTTTTGCTATCCAAGAAAGGATTTCTTATGTTGGAGGAGAAAATACCAGACTGCCTATCAAGTGTATTGAAACTGGCATGAAGAACACTCTTTTGTCCTGGCCTTTTACTCTGTTCATAAGACCACCACAGCTCTCAGGTTTTGAATTTTTAATACCTAGTGACGTACTTTCATTTGGATAATTTTATTTCAGAGTATATATGAACATCCCTAGGAGCTATGGATGAAAATCTGAAGGGAAAAAACCAAGGCTAAATTGATGATAAAACTCTTCTTCTCCACTGCAGGCATGCCCCTTTGTCATTGACATCTGTGCAGAAAAATGCAAACCCAGAATTAAAGCCATATATCTAGAGGCAGGCAGCTGGCAACTCAACAGGGCTATCTGCAAGTCTGTTGTTAATAAAGGAGATGCCAAAGTAATGGATGGCTGTGAAAACATTATTGTCTATACCCATAGGACTGGCATGCGAATCACTTCTGTTATTGAAAATAAGGTATGGCATGATACTTCTGTAAGGTACTTTGTTTTAATGTCTGTTATTATTGTTCTTTTCCTTCCATGCTTCATTTTTGGGAATTACATTTTCTGTTAACTTGCCAGTCTTACTGGTCTACTTTGCTACTAATCAGTATGAACAAACATAAATCCAGGTAAAACTTGTTGGTGAGATGCAGATTTTAAACCTTTTTGCATAGATCTCAATGAATATTCTGGTAATTCTCTTTCATTTATAACAGGAACCCTAAGAACATAAATACTGTGCAGTAAGATGCTAAACTTAAGATGCTTGAGGTCTTAGAAGTTCAAAACAAGAAGTGTATTTTTAAATGGGCAAACATGCAAAAGGGGATGGATTGGTGGACTAATATTAGGACTGAATGCAGAGGTTCTTTGGAGCCACAGGTTTAGAAATGCACTTCGCCCTTTAGGTAGGTATACTGGAGTTATTTATATGTTTAGAGGTATGTCAGAGAAGGAGACAAGATCTGTACTGAGGCAATCAGCTGGTGAAAATCACTGACCATTGCCATTTATACCATTTGGGTTTCATATGTAGCTTTGCTCTGCATTGAGCAAATAGTTACACTTCCTTGAAAATCTCGTTAGAGAATTTGTTGGCTGGAGACTTTGCACTGTAAATGTCTGGAAAGAAATAATGAAAGGGCAATTTTATGCAATCTGCCTTCTTTTAAGCTTCCCACAGTGCAAGCACTCTGATTGTATCTTCAGTTATTGTGTTGATGATTTCAATGGAAATAATTCTTTGTTATTTCTGTAATTAAACTGTGCTAGTTCTTGAGGGATTCTGTTTTCGTTCTGTGTATGCATTGCATCAGTGGGTAGAGAAAGGTGTCTGTCTTGTAACCATCCCCAGTCAGGATGCGAGCTGCAAAGATGAAAAGACCTCACATACAGAGCCTCAGTCTTCTCAGAGAATAGTAGAAATGAGTCTATTATTTCCTCATTTGCGTGACAGAAGAAATAGTTGGTGAGGCATTTCCTGTCATCCAAAGTGCAAACATGATCTAGGATGCCCTCTGTGCTCGGTGAATTTCTCTTACCTTCTTCCTGTTGCTTTAAGTATCTTCCTGTACAGATCATTTTCGTGGCCAAGTAGAAGTGAGGATTTCACCGAAGTGCCCAAACACCGGGAGATCACAATGATAATAAGATTAACACTTGGATCGTCTTTACATTTCTGCAGCCAAAAATGACCATATTTACACTCTGTGGCCCATAAATCCTTCATGCTGTGTGCACCAAAGATAGGCTAGAAAGGGCTGGCAAAAAGAGCTGATAGGAGCTTCTTGTGTGTCATAAGGCTGATTGCTGAAAGTGACTGTGTTTCTGTTCCATTTCTCAGTACAGAGGGATTGTTGGACAGCCTTGTCTAAGAACCAAATTTCCTAGGCTCTCTGCTGAGTGAATGGCAGAGTGTAGTAGTACGCCCTTAGATCCTGAATCTGAATATTGCTTGAGGTAAATTTGTGGTCAAAGAATTTTCCAGTAAGTTTTCAACTTTCAGTTTTATATATTGGATCCTTCTTGGAAGCATTTGCACACCTTTAGTAAGAGTGTCTGTTGAGTGATTGTACTGAAAGGAATTCTGCCCAATGTTTTAAAAAATCTCTATGAAGATGAGCTGCTTTTCTCAGGAGAATGCTTGGAAGAAACCATGAGCAAAAGACTGTGACAAGTCACATCTTGATGAGTGTCCCTTACAAACTGCTGTGTGTGCAGTATCTGTGACTTGTGGCAGTCCAAGTGAGGAACTCTGGTCATATCTGAAAGAAAACAAAGCACGAAAAGTGCTCCTACTCCTGACATGGGACATTTAACTTCAGAATTTAACTTAATAGCATAGCTGAGGAAATAGGAGGAATGTGTAGTTCTTACATAAAAAGAGCATTGCTTTACCATTAAGACTAATGGTCTCTTTCATGTTTTTTTACTTGCAGTCTGATAACAAAGTGATTGTTCATGTCAACAATGAGCAGAGTAGGAACTGCCAAAGTAATAGAGGGCTTGCTGTTTTTGCTGTGGAAGTGGCACCAAAATCTACGATGGTAAGAATTTATTGTTTAGCTATCTAAAATCTAAGTGAAAAGCAAAAATAATTTAACAACTGTACTGTTTCCTTTTGCAAGTCTTTTATCATGATAATAAGTATGTGGATGGTGAAGAGGTCTGTCTTCATCACCAGGACAGATCAGATATCATTTTATTGCCCTTTCAAAGCTGAACACATGCTTGATAGAACCATGTTTCTCAGTGCAGATTGATATAAAATTATATTGCATTTAGTTTGTCATACATGTGCTCCCAGATTTTGGATGATAGTGCCTCTTTCAGTTGTCCACTCAATACATGTATCACTTAGTCATGTTTTTAATACTCTCTTTCTGTTTTTTTTTTTTTAAATTATTATTATTACTTAAATTTTAATCAGATCTATAGATTGTTCTGAGAAACAGACTGAGCCAGGCATGTGTGAGTAAGAGAAAAAAAATATTGTGATATTTTCCTTCCTTCATTTATGGAGAAAAATCCAACTCTCTTTCTTTCCAAGAGGTGGAAACTATTTTATATTTCAAATATATTTCAAATATGCAAACTATTTTATATTTCACAGCTTTCCAGGTTGCATGCATTCAGATCACTGTCCACAAGTTGCCCAAGGAGGCTGTGGATGCCCCATCCCTGCAGGCATCCAAGGCCAGGCTGGATGTGGCTCTAGGCAGCCTGGGCTGCTGGCTGGCGACCTGCACACAGCAGGGGGTTGGAACTAAATGAGCATTGTGCTTCTTTTCAACTCAGGCCATTCTATGATTCTATGAAACAGATACAGCCCAGTGACACTGGCAGGGTGGGGGCCCAGTTAATATTGCTACTGACAATTCAGATAATTGTAGCCTCCTCCTGTAGTGTGTTTTATTCATTTTAATTTCTGCTTTGCTTAGTATAAACTGAGGCCCAGTGACCCCTGTGAATTCTTTGCTGTCATAATAGATGCTGATTGTTTTTCATTCACTGTTTGTCGAACGCGTACTGAAATATTTAATGTTGCTTGCATAGCATTCTAGGTTATATGCATACAATCCTTCAATAAACATCTATTTCACCAATGTTTTCTCTCTTGTGTACAGGTTTCTCAGCACGTGATGCCACTGAACGAGCAGGAAGAATGGCTGTATAACTGTGTGCATTCCCTCTTACGCTAAACATTGTAGTCAGAGTGCTGCTTCTTGGCAATGTTTAAATCACAGCTTCTGCAACACAACTTGTAGGTGTGTCCTCCAAAGCTGGTATGCTTCTCAGTTTTATTTGTTAAAGCCAATGAATCGTGTAAGTACTTATTTCTGGTATCCCATGTCTGCTAATAGCTTTTAAGAAACACAAATAGTGATAGCATAGGGATGGAATAACTGCAAGTCTGTAAAACTGTTTGACAGAATAGAATGTTCACATGCTGTCTAATGAAATACAGCATTGTGAAAGTGCTGAGATGCTAAAAATGAGTTCTGTTTGGTGATACAGCTGACAGTTGTAATAGAATTGTGTTTCATAAGGGCTGTTTCTCCAAATATGCCCTTATTTGCTGCAATAGCTAATATAGCTCCATACTGTAGTACATACTGGAGCTGCTTCACTGAGAAAAAACTTTGTTAAATTGATCTGATGGATTCCTAATTCAACACTGCCATGATTTTTATGTGAGAGATAAAAAGGGATGGGGTTATTTATCTCCTGACAAAGGATTTCAATTTTTTTTTTTGTCATTTGATAATAACTTGTTCTAAAAAATTATCAGCTTTTAAAATACTCTTTTATATGAAATAAAATCTGCCTTTTCACATGCAATAAGGGAATAATATTTGTGCTCCTAACTGTTAACTGCAACTAATTATTTCCAACGTAGCTGAAATAAGAAGGCTCGAGGTACTAAAAGTATTCAGGCAGTTATGTTTTCCTCCAAGTGTCCATATAAAAAATGATGACCCTGGTCACTGAATGCTTCAGGAGTGCCTGAGTTTAAAATAGCCCTTAAATATATGTGACCTCATCTGAAAGGGCGGCGAGCAGTCTTGAAAAGCTAAATTTGTCTGCCAGCTACTCCTGCACTACGCTGTTGCTCTGCTGTAATCGTACACTGGGCAAGTAAATGTCAGTTACAAAATGAGAGTGCTGCTAGAGGCTGGCTGTGATTTATGCTCTTCAGTAACTGGAACTCAGGCAGGTCTGCTGGTGAGCTTTTTTTTTTTTCTTCCTAGCAAGTGCAGCAGATATCACTTTCATTTCTAGAACGGCCTAAAAGCAGTAGAAATTGTACTAAAAGACTGCAGAAATATTTGGTAACTTGCAGCCAGCCACAAAGAACCCTGTAAACACTGCCTCAGGCAACGTGTGGATACTCAGGAGTTCCTGGTAGCATCTCTGAGAAGGAACTGGAAATAGAGAAACACCCACACATGCTGCTGGCAGTACAGAGCAAGCAGTTATTTGCATTATTTCTGTTTGTGAATTGGTGTCAGGCCTGGTAGACCTAGCAGGAGTCCATGTGCTATTCTTACTGCACTTCAGGAAAGAAACAAGTGCCAAGCTGAGTAATCACTGCAAAAAGACTTGATAGTGCTGTGGTTAAGGTCTGGTAGAACGTGACACAGCAATGGGGAAAGGAACCTTTTCCTTTACAGATCTCACTGTTAAGAAGAGTTTCACCAGCTCTTTGAAGGGAAACATAGGCTAGTTCTGTTTTCCATGGAATATCCACCTTTTCTGCCCAGGACAGTGGGGATCCCGGCTGTGTCTGCAGACTATTTCCAGTTTCCTTCAAGTTCAGGTACGACCAAGGTAGGAAAACATTCTAGCTACTACTATTAAGGCAGAACACAGGTGTCGGCTTCTTTCAACCGGCAGCCAGGAGGGAGAGGCAGCGTCTGCAGCAGCAGCAGCAGCAGCAGCAACACTGCCTTCTGCCGTTCTCTCCCCGCTTAGAACCAAAGTCCCGCTGCCCTCGGCGCCCTGACAGCCGCAGCCCGGGCCCCGCTGCGCCTTTAAGGGGCGGGCGGCGCGGAGCCGCGCGGGGCGGGGAGCGAACGGGGCCGGCTCCCCCCGCGCCCGCCGCCGCCGCGCCCGGAACTCGCAGCCCCGGCCGGCCATGGTGCACATCGAGACGGTGAAAACCAAGGCGTACGCCGACCAGAAACCCGGCACCAGCGGGCTGCGCAAACGTGTCACCGTTTTTCAAAACAATGCCCACTACGCCGAGAACTTCATCCAGAGCATCCTGGCCACCGTGCCGCCGGCAGAACGGCAAGAGGCCACGCTGGTGGTGGGGGGCGACGGCCGCTTCTACATGAAGGACGCCATTCAGATCATCGTCCGCATCGCCGCCGCCAACGGGGTACGCGGGGCCGGGGCTGGGGCGGCTCTCGGCGTGGCCTCGGGCCTGCGGGGCAGGAAATGCGGTGACAGCGTTACCTGCGGCTTCGCGAGCCTTCGGAACGCACGGGCGGACGGTGACAGGCCGGGGGGAATGGCTTCCGACTGAAGGAGGTCAGGCGTGGGGAGGAAGTTCTTGGCTCAGAGGACGGTGAGGCTCCAGCTCTGCTTCCAGAGCTGTGGGTGCCCCGTACATGGAGCTGCCTGAGGCCGTGGATGGGCACTGGGCAGCCAGAGCTGGTGGGGGCTTTAAGTTCCCCTCCAGTCCGACCGTTCTATGATCTACGAGCGGAGTGGTTGGAGAGGCTCTGACTCAGTGCTCCTTCTTATTGTGGGCCAGAGCTGTGTTTCGTACCCAGCAGCATACACCAGTGGTGGGTGCCTCCCAGTGCTGCTGAGACCACAGCCGCGTGGGTTCACCTCTGTCACAGCACTTGGTCAGCCTGGGTCTAGCCAGGAACAGCTGGGCTGGAGCTGGGTTGGAGAGTGAGGCCTTTCCTTCCCCTTGGCCTTTTGCAAGTGGAGAATGCCATCCTCTCCTGGGCCACCTGGCTCCTGCTTGTCAGCAGCAGCCTTCCCTCCTTGCAGGGCGAGCAGAGGATGCTGAGTGGTTAGGGTCAGGCATTAGGATGGAACCTGACAATTACCTTCTTCAATTTCCCAGCAATAATCAGATCTGTAACGAATGGGCTGAAGGAGAACGTGACAAAATGTGAGATCACTGCTTCCTTATGGCACAAAGAAGCATATAACTGCCTTCTTGGACCATGTAGAAGTTTGCTTTCAGTGATGCATGGTGGCTGGTCAGCATTAGATGTGTGTCCCGTGTCCCTGAGCACCAGCCTTGCCAGGTGCACCTGTGAGTGATGGATGCTACAGACTTTTGTGTTGGGAAAGGCACAGCCACAGTTTTATTTATTTATTCTAAGGAGAGTTGGAACTGAAACATGCAGCCTGACAGCACCTTGGATGCCCATGAATAAGCTGACTGGGAGGTTTGTTCGCTGGGACAAAGCCTTGGTTTGTTTAGGCTCTCACCCTGGTGGGCTGTGGCAGCCTTCCAGGCAGTTCTGCACTCTGTGCCTCAGTCCCAGCAGCAAGCAAGGGGCTGAAGGTGCACCAGGCTGGAACTGAGTGCTGATTGCTCAGAGCCCTCCTCTCACATCGTGCTGGTGCTCACGTATATGCAGCATCGCAGCACTGAGCTCTGCAGAGCAGGTCCTGGAGCCTGCTGGCTGGTGGGCATCTGCTTTGCAGTGTTTTGACCAAATTGATTCAGAATGCTAGGAGAAAATTGGTTCTGAAGTGAGAAAAAAGTTCTGGAAGGGCAAGAAGGGAAACAGGAAGCAGAGAGAGAAAAGAGAGGATGAATATTTGGGTTAAGAGCCAAGGTGCTGGTGTATGGAGTGAGAAATTTTACTTGACAAGCTTTTCATTCTGAATCATTAATTTATAAAGCAAGCAAGTAGCTGTGGCCCTGGGACAGGATGTTAGGCTTTTTCAAGCAAAAATTGATAGGATGAGAAGTGATGGCCTCACATTGTGCTATGGGAGAGTCAGATTGGATGTTAGGAGAAATCTCTTCTTCAAAGAGTGCTCAGCACTACACAGCTGCCCACGGGTGGATGTCACCATCCCTGAGGGCGCTCAGAGCTGTGGGGATGTGGCACTGAGGGATGGGGGCAGTGGGGATGGAGTGGGGTCAGGCTCAGTGACTTTACAGAGCTTTTCCAACTGTGGTGATTCTCTGGTTCTCTACTGGCAACTCCTGATGAAGGTTCTTTCTGCCCTTGTGGCAGAACAGAGAGAGTGGTATGGACTGTTTAATAAATTTACAGTAGATGTAAATCTGAATTAGCGACCAGAAGGAGGAACCACGACCTGCTCTCCAAAATGCAGAGCCTAAAGAAGCTCGATACAGTTGTATCTGAGTGTGAATTGTATGGGCCTTAGTAAAACACAAGTGTTGCATTGCCAAACTTAAGAATGGCAGAACCACCAGAGATGAGGTGGATGGAGAGTTTCTTTATTAAATGCAAAATGCCCATTTTTAATAAGTTTCTATATATTTGCTGTCCTGTTTTGGAATAATTGGGAGATGCTTGCTTGCTTCCTGGTTTCTCTCTAATTAGAAATGCTGGTTCCCTGATAGCCACTGCAGTGCAGTTGAGTACAAGCCTACGAATATCCTGTTTCAACAGAATAAATGTGAAGTAACTGGATGTCAGCCACCCTTCCAAGAGAAAGGTGAGCAATTCTGTGTAAGAAACCCAAAGTTCTCAGGAACCTGCTGCCACCTGTGTGCAGTTTGCTTTCTTGCACAGTAGTACCTCATCCTTCTTTCTGGGCCTGGGGAGTCTCCTGATGTCAGCAAGCAGGTCTCAGTGCAAGGTTCAGTCATCTCTTGGTGAGAAATAGTGAGACATGTAGAGAAAATGTCACAGGTCGCTGTGCTGCACTGCTTTGTCTGCAGAAAGTGAAGAAATATGAAGATAAATCTGGGCTTACTGCCCTTTCTGACAGCTTCTCTGCCTGTTTCTGATCACCGAGGTGTGTTGTATGGGATGCACCTGCTTGTCTCAGCAGCCAACCCACAACTTGAGCCAAAGCAAGTGCTGGACAACAGTATTTCTGGTCCTAGGGGAGAAAGAGGTGATGGCATCAGTGCTTTAAGTGGCTTTAAGATCTGGTGTGGTGGAGTGGTCCTTCAGGTGCCACAGGAGAAACCCGAAGACCACAGTTTATCGTTGTTAGTTTCACAAAGTAAAGGGTAGGGATGCTGAAGAGAGTTCTAGTTTTGTCTCCACCTGGAACAGTTACCATTCACCTAAATGCTGGTGTTGGAATAGCAACAACTCAGTTTGCACTTCTGTGGTTAAGAAGTGTTTATCCTATTTATAAGGTTGCATTTATAAAAGTAAACTAACATAGACACTGTTGGTTTTGCCATTCTCAGTTGGCATCCAGCGTAGCCTACTGCTTTGTTTTGGTCTGTTGTGCCAGGTTTTCTTTGTGTTATTCCACTTAGTAAGCCTGACTTCTTAATTACATGAACAAAGCTTAAAACCTCTTTTTGTCATCACCTGTCAGAGTAGAACTGACTGGCTGTACTGTAGCTTTAAGTCAAAAGTGTGCACAAGTTACAGAACTGAGGTTGTAAATCTCGATCAGATCACGTACCCAGCAGCAGAGTGGTTCACTGATGTTGTCACCTGCTACTTAATGAGTTTATTGTGCTTCAGTTCCTTTGCAAAGAGAGATTTTGCAGTGCTGCAAATTGCTTGAAGGTGTTTTAAATGCTGGACAGTGCTTTGTATGCTATACTCTAACCTGGATTTGTTTCACTGCTGCAGGATAAACAGTGCTCTACTGGAAATACTGCTCACTACCCTGCAAAGTTTGGTTTCCTGACTTGGCTGCTCTTAAGCTTTTTCCCCACTCAATTATGTCAGGGAAACCAAGTGTTTGAATTCTGTTGCGCTGCTCAGCAGCTCTTTATTTGCTTAATTTGGTAGCTCTGCTTCGTTTTCTTTGTGTTGTTCTGCCACAGTTTCCTTTCTGTCACTGCAGCCCCCATCTCACTCTCACTTGTTTCTCCTACCTGGATTTTAAGTTGAAGGCTGTCAAGGCAGTGATGATGCTGTCCGTGCTCAGTGCCTTTTGGAATAACTCCAGAAATTCCAGCTGAAGGGAAGAATTAGGGTGCTTTGAGTTAATCTTTGCAAATCCTGCAGACAGAGAGTTGAAATCCATACTAACAGAGGCTTAACTGTAATCTCCTGGAACAGTGGCTATAAGCAGACACCTTGGCTCTGGCTGTGCTGGTAAGGATCCTACAAGAGTCTGATGCCTTTGTCCTGGTAAAGCTTGGGGTAGGAGAGCTGAAGTTAAGGACCCAACTTCTGTGTCTTATGGCTGAGCTTCACCAGGAACAAGAAATACATTTGATGGGTTTGTGTTCTTTCCTCATGGTTCTCTTTGAACTAATCAGTAGAATGATTAATGCTTCAAATGACGAACTGAAATATATCACAGAAATAAAAAGAATTGTCCTAAGAAGGAGAAAAGCTAAAGGGGCAGAAGGAATCAAAATGTGGATGTTATCTGGACGTTTACAGCCATAGTACAAGCTACTGAACTTTGAAGCATCAGCTCTGCAGAACTGAGGATGAGAGTAGGTCACTGTTGGCTGTGTCCTGCAATTGTCCAGAAGAGCAAACACCATTCTGATATTTTCGGATAGTGTTGCTGTAAGTGAAACCCAGGAAAAGAAATCTTACAGGAATGTGGTGCCTGGTGTGGGATACCACCCCCTCCCAGGGATGGGAAGCATGCTGTTGTTTGCAGCAGGGGAAGGGCAGCTTGTGGCCACGGGCAGGTATGGGTGTGCTCCAGGGAGCTGACCTTTGGATGGAAGGTTTCTCAATCGTGATTGTTGCTGTGTGCTCCTATTGTGGCAAAGGGGATCAGCCCCTACCTGCGTGGCAAACCTGGAACCTTCTGTGGGGTCCAGAGCAGCCCTGCAGGTGATAGCTCCATCCCCAGCTCTGCAGAGCTTTTTTCTCACATATCTTCTTTCTGCCACCCACCTGCCTTCTCTCCTGGTCCTCGTTGGGGTGCAGTGTAATTATGGAGCAATGCAGGAAGGGGGCAGGAAGGAGTTAGGGAAATGTCTTTTCTGTTCTAAAGCAAAGCCATGAAATAACTGCAAAACATCCTTTTTGGCTTTTGCACTGTATGCGTGTCCCATCCTCCCCCTCTTTTTCTTTCTTGAATGTCACATTCAAGACTGAGTGGAATGAGAGAATGTAGTGTCACAGCTCACATGGGGACAGGGGACGGGGCAGGGGTCAGCAACACCAAGTCCAGGGAGGAGTTGCATGCTCCAGTGTTTTGCTGAAATTCAGGTTCTCTCAAAATAGTCTTGTTTGTCTTTTTATCATTAACCAAAGTCAACAGTTCATAGCTTTGATTCTGCTCTTGCATGCCTAAAGTGAATGGGAACCTACATGAGCAGATGGCTCTGCTCTGGCAGGTTGGCTGTTTGGAGGGGAAACATAGAATTGGAGACTTACAAAGTGTGACCACACGGGAAAGCTAAGGAAATTGGGGAATTGGGATTATTTCCTGTAGAAAAGAGGGGATACTGTGAGCCTCTGTGTTAAAGGATTATTGTAATGTGCAAGAAAGTGTCAGAAGGAGGATTATGATTGGTTTGTTCTCTGACAGCTCAGGAGGACTTAAGCTGCAGGGAGAGAGATGTAGGACAGACTGCAGGAAGATGCTTCTGACTGCTCTGGCACCACACCTGGAGACAGAGATTTCAAGAACAGGCTGCAGGAGCTTTCTGAAGGGTACCTGGGGGATGTTTGATCCCACACCAGATTTGGGGAGGGATCAGAGGACCTGCTGAATTCCTTTTCCTCCTGTAAGTGATTATATGTGCCTGAGCAAAGACTCCCAGGTGGTGAATCGAATGAGCCTTCCCCTCCCCAGGGCTGAGGTCTGCCTCTTGAGTCTTTTACCCTTCTGGATCTCCTGGTAAGCGTGCAGACACTGGCCTAATAGTCCTGGTTGACCCATTGTTGGTGTTGCAGGAAAGCCCTGGGATTGGGTGAGTGCCCCAGAGACAAGCTCCATGGTTATGCCACTTCTGTCCCTGTGCTTTGCACATACTGCCTCACAGCTGCATTCTGTATTTTGTTAGAAATAATGTATTTCTTTTAATGTATCTTAGTATGGCAACAGTGACTATCACCTTCCTCCCTATGCTGAGTTTGGTTCCTCTGCTCCACAAGTGCAAACTTCATTAGGTCCTCATCCAGCCAATGTGTGGGCACCTGCTCAGGGAGGACGAGGTGTACTGTGGCATTTTGTGGCACAAAGTGTTTGGCTGGGCGAAAGTGCTCACAGGCTTTTCCCTGCCAGGGAGGCTCGTTCTGGGAGCTGGGCTTTGTTTTCTGTGCCACTAGAGGGAAACCTCAGCCTTTGCATGGAAATGGAGGCACTGCAGCTGCAGGATGCTGGAACAGCACGAAGACATACATGTAATAGACACATGGATGGTTGCTGGCTGCATGGCACAGGCAGTCTTGCTGTTGGAACAAAGTAAAGATTGTCGTAAGAAAATCTGTCAATGTTTGGAGCAAAAAAGTCAGGAAACAATCCTGTGGGAGCCCCCACAAAGCGTCACAGTTCAGCTGTGTACACAACTCCTTTTCTCCTCCCCTCCTTAAGTATGGAACAAAATGAGTCATTAGGAAGTGTACGGTCCTTCATTATCCAGAAATATCTGTGAACTCTGCCAGCAGCTTGGACAGAGGACTCTAAGTGTCATTAAAAGGGAAACCATGGTTTCAATCCAGCATTTGAGGCTGACGGAGATGATGCCTCAATAACTGCTTGTATTTGGGTCTCTGGTGGGTGCAAGCTTTTCCAAAATTAATGACTTTGTTGTAAGCTGTGTTTGAAAGTTTGGGGTTTTTTCTAATAACTTTTGTCATGCATAGTGCCCAGGGTAGGACTCATGTTGGTATTCAGTTGAAAGCATTGCTTTAGCAGTGTTTTAGCTGGTAATGGATTTCCCTTAGTTAAGCAGAGGCTGGTTGTGCACTGCAGACGATGTCCCGTTATTTGGGGGAAGCTGGCGCCGGAGCTGTCGGGATGTCAGAGTGGGACTCGTGTAAGCAAAGTGTGGGTAACAGATCCGTTGCCTTCCATTTTAAGAGTGACCTTTAGCTTGCTGGAGGCTGCAAAATGCTGCTGTGCCCGCGGGAGGCTTTTCCTCCAGGGCCACGCAGATCTGCTGGGCTGGCAAAAACGCTGTGCAGCGCATCGGTGTGTGTGTGAGCGGGTGCTGAGCTGCTGACAGAGGGCAGGCGGATGGACGGTGCCGGCGGCGATAGCACAGAATGGTGAAGGGCCGTGTCTGGAGGGAGCAGAAGGTGGAGAAGGAGGCAGAAATCACCTTTTGCTGAGTGCTGGGAGAGCAGCGTGGGGTTGTGTGTTCTTCATGACATTGATCCTCCACGGCAAGTGCAGAGAAACATCTTCAGTTACAGGAGCCGTGTTCAGCTCAACGTTCAAGGAGCTATTTTTGGGTGCTCGGCAACTCTGCTGAGCTTCTGTCCAGTAGGTGTGCCATTGCTGGTGTCAAGACTGATACATTTTTAAAAAAAAGTTATTCTTTTTCTTTTTTTATTTAATCGTAGTTTACTTCTTAAATGCATTTATCTGAAAAAAGAACATGGAAGCTGCTCCTCTGCCTCTGCTGACTGTGCCAACAGCTCCTTACAATGATCAGAAACCAGGAACCAGCGGATTACGGAAGAAGACCTATTATTTTGAATCCAAAATGAACTATTTGCAGAACTTTATCCAGAGTATATTTTTTTCCATAGACCTAAGAGATCGACAAGGATCTTCTGTGGTAGTTGGAGGTGATGGAAGGTACCTTAATAAGGCTGCAGTGGAACTGATAGTCCAAATGGCTGCTGCCAACGGGGTTGGTAAATGCTAGATGATTAAATTCCTGTGGTTGTATAGCTGATAAATGCAGAAAACCAAAACAGAGTAGTCAGTGGGAGATTGAGTTTTCCCATAGATTTTACTCAACTGCTAACAGATAACATTTCGATGGAAAATCAGACTGGTAATACTGAAATTAATGTTTAATTACTGTTAAAAGAAAGTTAGCACTGAGCGGAAACCCATACAGTGATTTCTGGTTGTGTGGGAAGCAGATGAGCCAGGGCTGTTTGCAGCAGAGCATGGCTCAAGCACCGCAGTGCTCTTGGGGTTGTATCTGTGTTTCTTGTTGCTTTTAAGAAGAAAAGGCTTTGCTGTCTGTTCTGTGTTTCCTAATGCAGAGCAAAACTTTACACGAAGAGATCTGGCTTATGGGAATGTGTTTGACAGAAAAGCTTATCCGATCACAACAGGGTGATTTGTAATGAGCAATTGAATAAGAAGAGAGAGATATATATTTTTCTAAATCAAAATGTTTTCCAGCTGGAAAAGAAAAATCCTCTGGCATTGCAAATTAATGTGTTCCTCTTAAGTCAGTGTATGGGCTGAGTCAAAGAGCTGGAAAACGTGCACAAAGCAAGAGCCAGGCCTGCTGCCCGGGCTTCTCCACACCAGGACAGGTTTCCTGTTGGTGAAGATGAGATTAAGCTGATCTGCATCACTGAGACTGCTGCATTTCTTTCCAGCATTGTGTCCTGTGCCTGGCTGAAAACAAGTTTCGCTGTTGAGTTTGGTGGTTTTTGTTAGTTATTTCTAAGCAGTCTGGCTAAAGCCTGTGACTTTGTTAATCAGTTTTGTGCTAATCTTGCTCTGTAGAGTCGGAGAGATGAGTCTGAGGATGTGTTCGACTATAAAAAGCCACAAGGGAGGGCATGCATGTCATATTTTGAATGTGCAAAAGTGTCTGTCGGCATGTGGCAGAGACAGGTGCTGTCACCTCTGCAGATGCGGGATCAGCAGGATTTCCGAGCAGCACCAAGCACACCACTGTGCCAGTGGAGCACCATGCACGTCGTCTGCTTTAAATGCTAGTTATGGGGTTAAACAAGTGTTCAAGGTTATTTGTCAGCTTAATGTAAAGGGCACACAGGGGAAGGTCTGTGTTCAGGGCTATACTGCACAGAGTATGGCCTGTTTGGAGCTTTATGACCAGCGTCCTCAGCTTGGAAAGCATGGTTTTGGGGTGAAGAACACCAGAAGCATCAGTCTGTGTCACTGGGGTGTGGAGGGGACCTCGGGGACCCCGAGGGGACCTTGCTGCTGGGACAAAGCATGAAGCCAAACCCACGTAGATCAGGCTGCTACAAATTTGATGTATGGCATAATGATCTAGATAGTTGGGTACTATAAGGGCAGCAATACTCTGACCAGTTGGTAGAAGGGCACTCACACCTCACACTGGGTTTCTAAGCTGCTGTTTCAGGTCTGTGTCCATAGCTTGCTGGAGACTGGACGTCTCAGCTTCCCACTTGCCTGGCAGCTGTGAGGCTTAGCACCCAGCTGTGCCACAGGCAGGAATGGCAGCCATCCCACAGAGCCAGCTTAGCACCGCATGGGGGATTCAGGCCGGGCAGGCTGGCTTTTGTCTTCTGGTTCCTCTTGCTTTTGAATGAAATTCCTCCTCTTTTCTCAGCTGTATTCACAGTCTAATCTCCTTGGCTGATGGAGAGTGGTCTGGTGTATTTTTAAATCTCTATCACCTCATTTGGGGGCTATGGTAAGGGGCACGTTCTTCCAGAAAAACATTTATCTTCTCTTTTACTGCGTGAACCCCAGCAACTGAGTCCTGATTACCTTGTGCTGCTTAGCACATTGCTCTGGATTTAATCTCAGTGATATTACCAAATTTATGGCAGGGAGGTGCATTACCCGCTGAGAGTAAGAGAATCTGCATGCGGTCCCATGGGAGCAGTGATGATGATCAACTTTTGTTTTGCATTGGCTTCTCTCAGTCCCATTGTGTCTTTTGAAAGCAATGTTCAAGACCACAGGCAAAGGTTTTTTTGTTTTGTTTAGATGCCTCTGGAAAGCTCTGCTCTAGTGCAGGATGCCATTTCCAGTGTTCATAAGCAAGGATGCTAAAAAGGCATGACAGAGCAGGGTCAGATGCTGACCTTCAAGCTATATAGCAGAGAGCTTGCAGCCTCCCAGGTTCAGAATGTTTGCTTCAGGACCTCTGCCATCCATGTGCCCCTGACGAGGCCCTGCTTTACCTGTTGTTGGTGTTGGGGTGTTTGGTGCTTTGGCACTCAGAATTTGAGTCTCAAAGTAGTTTGTTCTGCCCTTTGATTTTCAGATTGGTCGCTTGGTCATCGGGCAGAACGGCATTCTCTCCACCCCAGCAGTGTCCTGCATCATCAGGAAAATCAAAGCCATCGGTGGCATCATTTTGACAGCCAGCCACAACCCTGGGGGGCCCAATGGAGACTTTGGAATTAAATTCAACACGGCCAATGGAGGTAAAGTTGCTTAGTTGATTCTTGTTTGCTTTGTTTCTGCTTGACTTGCCTTGTGTTGGCAACAAAGAACTCAATTTAATTGTTTTAACATCACAGAGGTTCAGTGAGTGGCCTGAGCAGTGGGTTTCCCAGAACATGGAATTAGTGTGGTTAAAGTTGGCAGGGACCTCTAGGTCCATTTGGTCCAACCCCTGCTCCAGCAGTGACTCCCAGAGCAGCTTGCTTGAGACCACATCCAGTGTGATCAATTTGCTCACTGGTATTCTTCTCCCAGTGAGGCATTCCCAGCCCCAGGCCTTCTGGTCTATCTCTGCAGTGTTCTCTCCTCATGCTTTGTTTCTTTAACTTCTCCCCCTTGCCCATTATATCTTGTAGGTCCTGCTCCAGAAGGTATCACGGACAAAATTTTCCAGATTAGCAAAAAAATTGAAGAATATGCAATCTGCCCGGATCTCAAGGTGGACCTGGGTACCATTGGAAAACAGCAGTTTGATTTGGAGAACAAATTTAAACCCTTTACAGGTAACTGACTGCTCTTCCCCTTGGGAAGTTTCCTTTCAGGTGAAACTGGCATGGGCCTCTGTAGGACAAGGACACTTGGTGCTTTGAAGGGCACGTGGTCTGACCTTCCCTTCTCATCTATTGGATGATCCAAGCAAGAATATCTGTCCTGGTCATCATGGATTTATTCATTTTATTTTTTGCCTTCATCTCACCTTGTCTAGATATTTTAATTATATTGTTTCTGTTCACTCGTCCCATTAGTTGCAAAGATGCAAATTTTAAGGCTATCAGGTGCAAAATTCATGCTGACATTGGTGGAGATTGAAAGTCTGTTTTCATATGTATTTTTGTTTCCTCTAATCCCACTCTACACATAACTGGAGTGGAATGGAAACTTCTCAAAGGGCATCTCCAGCTGCGGCTGGAGTCTGTGACTAGCAGAGAACTGGGGAAAATGTTTGCCTTCAGGATTTTGTTGGTCTGTTTGGTCTGTAATCCCATTAGCAGTGGCAGCCCATAACCAAATGTTTCTTAATACAGGAACATTATCATCATCTTTATGAAATGATTCTATGGGATGTTTAAAGGCTCTGTGCTGAGCCCTGGCCCTTTGCACTGAGGATTGTCAGCACAGTGGCTCGTGTACTAAAATTGCTTTTCTGCATAGAGTTCAGATTGTCAGAGTTAGTTTCTCTCTGTTTTTTCTTTTTTTTTTTTTCCAGTGGAAATTGTGGATTCTGTAGAAGCTTATGCAAATATGCTGAGGAACATCTTTGACTTCAATGCGTTAAAGGAACTGCTTTCGGGGAAAAACCACCTCAAGATTCGCATTGATGCAATGCATGGAGGTATGGGTGGGCTTGGCTCTGCTGGTCTGTATGGTGTTGCCTCCTACTTCCCAGAGAAGGCTTTTCTGCACTTTTTTGTTACTGATGTTTGAGAGCAATGAGTTCTGTTATGGTGCTGGATTGCTGTGAATCAGACATGCAGTTTGTCTTCTTGTCATTCTAATACCTCAGTGTAATTGAGGCGTAAGTCCTTCTTTACCCTGTACTTGAATTCCTTCCTTCCCACATTTTCCTATGGCAGTTGTGGGCCCTTATGTGAAGAAGATCCTGTGTGAGGAGCTGGGAGCACCAGCAAACTCTGCTGTGAACTGCACCCCACTGGAGGACTTCGGTGGCCACCATCCTGACCCCAACCTGACCTATGCTGCTGATCTGGTCCAGACCATGAAGACAGGAGAGTATGACTTTGGAGCTGCCTTTGATGGAGATGGGGTAAATGGGCTGCTCTGTTTTCATCTTTTTACCTCCTGATGGAAAAGGGAGGACGTTGGCTCAGGAGGATGGATGTGAAAGCTTTTTTTCTCCTCTCCATTCTGTAGCTGCACAGGGATGGGAACTACTCAATGCAGTTCACAACTGTTGGCAGTAGTTGACTACTGTGTAAACAATGAAGTCCAAACTGTATTTAAATGGCTTTAAAGGTTATGAAAAATCAGCAGGATGTTGAAATACTGTAGAGGTGTTGCTATTTAACTTTTTCCAAATGCTGTATTTAGAGCACTACAGTAAAAAATCCGTGTCCATGGGTTTGTAAGCTGTGCCAGCAAAGTAGCACAGTCTCTGCTTTGCAGCCTCTTTGCACAAAGCCAGGACTTGAGCTGTTTCTCTTGTCTTTGTCAGGACCGCAACATGATTCTTGGCAAGCATGGCTTCTTTGTGAACCCCTCTGACTCCGTCGCTGTCATTGCTGCCAACATTCTCAGTATCCCTTACTTCCAGCAGACCGGGGTCCGTGGCTTTGCCCGCAGCATGCCCACCAGCGGGGCTCTTGACAGGTAGCACCTACCTCTGTGCACAGTGCCCTGACAAGGCAACAACTGTCTTTTTTCTGTGTCTGACATGTGTCCATAGTGGGGAGCGTGGGCTGCCCCATGGGCAAAGCATCTGGCTGCTGTGGGTTGAGTTCTGGAGTCACTGAAATTTAACGTATTAAATTCAGTTTGAGGGCATGGCAGAGCTGGGTTCTGCTCTTGGCTCTCTTTTGTCTACATGGATATGGTTCACCCCCTCCCCCCCGCTTTGTGATTTTTAAATTTTAATTTTAAGCTGATAATCTATTTGTGAAATGCTTTGACATCTACAACTGCAAATCAATTTAGAAGAGCTGTATATACATATATATATTTATCTTTAGTTTTGTTCTTCCCAACAATCTCCCAAAAGGTAACACCAGGATAAAACGCAGCATTGCTGTACAAAGAGCAACTCTTAATAATAAAGCAGAGACATGATCTGCTTTTAGTGTTACCCCTCAGGAGATGTGTGGTAACTGCTGGGGCTCCTGCTGCAGTGTTTCACGTGGGTGCACTAAGCCCAGCTGTGTGTGACGTAGCCTTCTTGCCTTCTAAGGGTGGCCCACGCGACAAAGATTGCTTTGTATGAGACTCCTACTGGCTGGAAGTTCTTTGGAAACTTGATGGATGCAAACAAACTGTCTCTGTGTGGAGAGGAAAGTTTTGGTACTGGTAAGTGGGTGTTCCTGATCTCACTAATGGAGGCACTATTCCTCTTCGTAGTTCTTTACTGTGCTGGCCTACTTGGGGTTTATTTTTCACGTGAGGTTAATGCTTCTAAAATCATTTAACAAAAAAGCTTGCAAGAATTCCTGGTGAAAGCATACACAGCGCTCAGAGTTCTGTCAGGCAAAAGAATCCCTGGTGAAAGCATACATAGCGCTCAGAGTTCTGTCAGGTAAAAGCTCTTCTTTTTCCAGAAGGCATAAGGAGATATGCAGGAAGTCTAAGGGCCTCTTTACTAGCCCGGTCATTGAGTCTGTGGGGATTAAGTGCAGCGTTAAATGTATTTTTCAACTCTTGGTGGCCAGGAAAACCTTCTAAATGTTTTCATTTCTGGAAAGAAATATGGTTTGGAGCATGCAGTTTTATTAGGGGAGGTTTCAGGTCACTATTAAATCTCCGAGCTTAATAGGGCCCTCATTTTCCTGTTCTAAAAACAAGGTATGATTTATAAAGTTTAAATTAACACTTGCCTTTGAACAGTCGAAGCGAGTTATTGGGTTACTGAGAAACAAAGCGAACATCTTTAGGAATTTACCAGGGGTGCAGTGTGATGCATGGCTGTTATTGGTGCAGGCTCTGCACCGTGCCTGAAATGTGCGGTGTTGTGTGGCTGTTAGGCTGCCACCATTCTGGGGTTTGTCTGGCCTGGGTTATCCTTGTTCTTCCATTGTGTGTATTGCTCAGGACAGCAGGGCAGCCAGAGGTGCAGGGCTTGGGGAGATCTAGGTGGGGTGGTTGGGGGTCAAAGCTTGCATGTTTCCAGCCCACCGCCTCATATTTTAGCCTGCTTTAAGGTGTTTCATGGAGTAAGAGTGGTTTCAAATAGCAGATATGAAGTGCTTTGTGAATCTCTGTCCCAAAATGTTACCACCTGAGTTTTTGGTAGCTGAGGATGTGGCACTGCAGACTGGCTGAAAGCTGGTTGCTGTGGGGCTGAAGAAGTCACCGGGGCAAAACTTTTGCTATCAGATGCTATTCTAATAAAAGAACTAGGCCTCAGTCTGGAAGGAAAGGGGAATTTTGGATGACTTTGGTATCTCTGTAAAGATAACTTGAGGGTAATTGTGAGCATAGGAAGATTTTGGAGTTTAGCCCTGAATGATTTCAGCATGCTTTAAGTTTATGTTGCGGCCTTTAGCTGGTGAGAATGGCTCAGCATTTAGAAAATACAAACAGCAGCAGCAAATGATTCATGGAGCTGCTGATAGGAGCTGGGCTCTAACGAGCAACTCTCTGAAATTGCTTCCATCTTCTGTCGCATGTGCAGTGAGCTCATGGTTTCTCTCCAGGCCACGATAGGTAGGTGACTACATTGCCAATAAAAGTGACTGAAACCACTTGCAATGGGGCTGAGAGGGAGGCTTGATGTTTTGGCTGTGCTGCATCACACCTGGGCTGCGCGCTGGGGTCGTTGTTGGGGGAACACTGGGAAAGGGCTGGGGCAGCCTGTGCTGGGCTCCCTGCAATGCAGAGGGCATTTGTCTGTCTGGCAGAGGCCCTTTAAAGAATGAAATGGGGTGAGGGAGGTTGTTCGATAGCCATTTAATGAGGAGTTGTTTGGAGTCTGACAGTGTGAGTGCTGAATGGGAGCAAGGTGAAGGAGCAGCCAAAGAGACCCAGTAAAAATTGAAACAAACTGCGACCCGGCGGGACCAGGGTCCAGCAGCAATTAGAGTAATGCGACGTGACAGAATTCCTGCTTGCTTTCTGGGGTGTTTTATTCCAGCAATAAGTTGATACATCACATGGGACTCCTGTTTATTTAGCATTCCTCTCCATCACCTCTGCGCAGCTCTCAGCTGTGCAGGGCTGTGAGGATAATTTACCACCGCATCCACAATGTGGGGTTTGTGTCTCGCACCTCGTGGCCCCAGCTGATTTTTTGGGGGGTGAAATGGTGGCTCTGGCCAACTCTCCCCATTGGCAGGTGTGCCCTGGCTCCTTGGGGTTTTGGTAATACTAGCCTGGATGTTTTCCAGAGCCCAAAGGATAAAACCCAGAAGCTGTGCATTGAGCCTAGCACTGAGCTAACCAGTCAGGAAGATGGAGGCTGGGTTGGTGTGCTCTGGCTGCTGTTGGATCCTACATTTAAATCTGGTGTTTGGGGCTGGGATGAATTGATCTCGTTGTGTGAATGAAGTCCTCGTGCTGCTGCCCCTGTGGCTGCTGTGCTCCCCAGCACCCTGCAGTCTTGAAGCTGTTTGGGTTTGGCTTCCTTAGCGAGGGCTGGCATTTCTCTTGGTGCTCAGCCAGTGTCTGGACCATTAGGGTTTACTGATTTGGCAGACAGTGTGTGACAGCTGCTCAGAGAGGCTGATGGTAGTTCTTGAGCTGCTCCTTTGCATTTGCCTTTTTATTTATTTATTTCCTTTTTAGTGCACATTCCCCATCGCTTCCTTGGGAACAGAATGAAGGATCTGTGAGCGATGAGTATGTTTTAAAGGGAACTGAGTGTTTTATTTGGGCTATAGCTGAAAGCAGATGATATCTTGAACTGCTTTAACAACACATGAACATCCAGCTTGTGAAATGCCTTCCATGTGTGGGGCTGTACTACTGCCAGCTTGGTGGAGGAGTGGAGGTGAAGCAAAGCTGTGTGCAGGTTCTGGCCTCGCAGGAGGACAACATAATGTGTCTGTGCTGTGGCTCTCTGCAGGCTCCGACCACATCCGTGAGAAGGATGGGCTCTGGGCAGTCCTGGCCTGGCTGTCCATCCTGGCTGCCCGCAAGCAGAGCGTGGAGGACATCATGAAGGATCACTGGCATAAATATGGCAGGAACTTCTTCACCAGGTGAGGAAGTGCTCCAGACACCTCGTTCTTCCCTCTGCCCTATGGCCAACCAAGGATGAGCCCTCAGGAAGGAGCTCAACGACCTGAGCACCAACAGCACCAACCTTGCTACCACAGCAGTTTCTGCCTTGTTGCACACGCTTTTTCTGTGGTGTTGCAGTGGTTTGAAGGTCCCTGGCTAGTTTGTGCTGCTTCTGTGGGTCCAATAAACCTGTGGGTATTCACCTTAACCTTTCACGATGTCCAGGTTAGAATCTGTTACTATGAATACAATCTATTCAGTATCAAACTCTGTGAAGGTTGTGCAAGTCTTCTTATATCTATCTGACAGGTAGTATGTATGTATGTATGTATTTATTTATTTAATGGAGATCTTTTCTTGCAAGAATTTTTCCTACTTTTAGAACAGTATGCTTCTTTAGTTTACGTCTTACAAATTAATTTGTAATATCTTGAGTGATGGCTTTGCCTCACTGAATGGGCACCCAGCTCCTAGACAGTTATTTACCTGGTTGAATTTCTGTCCAGTTCCAAAATACTCTTACTTTGAACTTTGTCTATACCTATAGACACAGGAGATGAAAAAGGAGAACTGACCTGCACATGAGCAGAAGAGGTCACGTGCAGGTCATGATAGCTCTCTGCTATCTGGAGTGAGAGCATTAGGGTAAAAATCTTTCATTTGGAAGACCTACATGAAATTTCCGTCTCCAATGCTAAATGTAAGAACATTTTTGCCTTTTTTTTTTCCCATACCACAAAGCCAGCATACATCTAAGGCATTTAAAGCTGTGGAAGAAGTGCCAAAATCTAGTATAAAAAGGTAGTCTTCAAGCACCAGAGATATGTCTGCATAGAAAACTAGGTGGAATGGAAGGCAGCTAGCAATCCTGTGCATGCTCTGTCTGGCTGGGCAAATAAAAGCTGTACAGATCACACTGGCAGTCAGAGTACAGAGTCTCAGGTCCTGTGCACATGCTGGAGCTGGTGCTCTTTCTGCTTCTCTTACTTACATTAGCTAGATCAAAGCTGGCACTGGGTGTTATCATGTGCTGGGATCACACTTTTGCTTTGCTGTGGGGACACACTGAGATGCTCAGGCAGAACTGTTATCAGGAGCCAGTTGAGATCCTATTAGAGGAATTGGAATAACTGCTTTGCAGCCAGTGTTGTTGGAGTCTGGCCCTTGATCTTTCTCAACTTTAGATGTATCTGAAATAGGTTGCTGTACAGATTTGTACTGCATTCATACACTGCTGCATTATCTTCTTTCTTCTGGTCCTTGTCTCCACTATGAGTAGAAAACAGGGGGCTGATCACAGCATTGTTAAACAAGAACACTGCAGAACAGTGCTGCTAATTACACACCTTCTTAATTTTGTTTTTACTGTCGTAGATACGACTATGAGGAGGTGGATGCAGATGCAGCTGGTAAAATGATGAAGGATTTGGAGACTGTAATGTTTGACCGCTCCTTTGTGGGGAAGCAGTTATCAGCTGGTGACAAAGTCTACACGGTTGAGAAAGCTGATAACTTTGAGTACCACGATCCCGTGGATGGAAGCGTCTCCAGAAATCAGGTCGGCACAGTGCTGCTTGGGGTGGCCATGGCCTCTGAGAGTGCTGAATATTGGGCATCTTTGTTCACTGCATCTGCCCTTTCTCTGAAGTCAAGGAGTGCATTTGACTCTTGGAAATGGTTTTTCTCCCCTGTGTTGGCCAGTGGGATCTTGGCCTTTGTGAAGGGAGTGGCTGCCTTGGAGGGGATGCTAAAAGAGGGAAGGAAGGGTCTGGAGGCTGCTTGGAGCAGGGCCAGGCTGGGTGCCATGGACTGTGCCAGGGTACCCAAGGCTGAGCAGCTCTGCCCCTCTCTCCTCAGGGCTTGCGGCTCATCTTCTCTGATGGCTCTCGCATCATCTTCCGGCTGAGTGGCACCGGCAGCGCTGGAGCGACTGTGCGGCTCTACATTGACAGCTATGAGAAGGATGCTAAGAAGATCCACGAAGACCCACAGGTAGGTGTTAAATCTGAGTTGTGGCATCGCTGGTTCGCAGCCTTACTAAAAAGCATGGATATTTGCTTAGTACTGCTTTGCTTAGAGCCATGCGCTGGGTGTTTTGGAAGCAAGGGCTTTGATATCTTCAATCCCAGTGTAAATAGCTTTTGGAAAAGCTCTGTGTGGAACGAGCATTACTTATTCAGAATCTCTCACAGCTGCTTTTGCAGTCACGCATTAGTTTTCCTGTTTATGTTACATCTGTGGCTGATTCCAGGTGTGGAAGGACACTTTCCAACCTGAACTGACCTTCTGGGCAAAACGTTGCTTCGCTAGGGATAAGACGAGCTCTTTTCTGTGCATCACCTAATACTGAAAGAATCCTCATTTTCTATCCCCCAGCAAATAGAACTTTTTGTGCATGGCTTGCTGTTTTTGACAAAGACATAAAAAATGTGGAAGGTGGACGCGGTGCGCACAGGCTGCGCATGGTGCTCTGCCCCCGGTCCTGAGCCATCTCTCCCCTCTTGCAGGTCATGCTGGCTCCTCTCATTTCTATTGCACTGAAACTCTCACAGCTTCATGAAAGAACCGGCCGCACCGGTCCCACTGTTATAACATAAAGGCTCATCCTGGCACCAAGGGAAAGAAGCCAGCCCGTCGCCTCTTTTATTGTCGGGTCTGTCGCTATAAAAGGAATATTAATTTTATCTGTGTATTTAAGAACACTGCCCGCTACAGATAGACAATAAAAACCAGCTCCTGTCAACACTTTTTGTGCACATTGCTGTGCTGCTTTTCTGCGTCACGCAGCACTGCTGGCACGTTGGTTTGGTGCTCGTTAGCTCAGCCTGTTGGGTTAGCATATGTACTTCTTTTTTCTTTGCTTAAACAAAAGGCTCTAGAAATAACAAAGAACCCAACTCCCTGAATTACTGATGAATGTATTCTCTATCTTGGACACTTTCCTGGAAAAGAAGCGCACTTTACCCTTGTTAATATGTTGTCTTCAAAATTTGATGTCTCTAAATAAGCAATGGACGTGCACTAATAGTGAGTATTTTTCACTCACGTGGATTTTTTCCCTTTCAAAACAAATTATGTACATTGCTCTCTATTTACCTTGCTATCTGTATAAGAAAAAAACCACAACACAACCTCCCTCAAGAAATAAGCAGTAACAGTCATTGCAGGATATTAAAGTGGTATGAGCTACAATTACTGTTCAGTGTTCTTTTATTTTCTTGCACCATGATCTTCTTTTGAAGACCAAAAGACTGTTTTGATGAAGTTGTTTGGTTGAATGGCGAGATCCTTGGAATGATCACAGTTGCATGCATTAATGTGCCAAGTCTTTTCCAAGGGCATGGAGAAGGTGACTTTGGAAACAGCTGTAGCTGCTGAGTGTCAGTGCAGCTCCCTGCCCTCGTGCTGGGGCTGTCCTCTCCATGCTGAGCTGGGTCCTGCTCCCATCCTGGCCTGCTGCCATTGTGCTGGGGAGGATGAGGTGTGCTTGTATTGCCCTCAGCCACCAACATAATGCCCTTCAGCACAGGGGCTTGAGCAGGTAAACCCAGCTCAATCTCCCCTTTCTTTAGGCTGTTAAATGATGTTAATAGAAGTAGTTGCATTGGTGGGAGCAATGTTAGGGGGTTTTCCCTCTTTTGCTTTGTGTGCCTTTGTCACCCAAGCCATAGCTGGACTGGACGGTACAGGGAACACTGCCCACACAGCTGAAATTCAGGCTGGGTCCCTGGGCAGGCCTGAGGGAATGGCTCTGTTTTCCAGGAATGTGAAGCATCCCACCTTTGCCCTCTGCACAGCGCTGCCAGCAAAACCTCTGAAGTTGATGCAGATGTGCTGACAAAAAGCTCTTTATCTCATCTTCTGTACAGAGGTGAGGTGTCTCTTCTGACAAGCAGACCTTCTGCTAAATCCATACTAGCAGCTTTGCTGGCAGAGCTGTTTTCATTGAATCACAGGCTAGTTTGGGTTGGAAAGGACCTTAAAGCCCACCCAGTTCCAACTTCTGCCATTGGGCCAAGACACTTGTCCAGGGCCCCATCCAGCCTGGCCTCCATGGATGGGGGAGCCTTGCTGCTGCTCATGGTGTGCCTGAGCCCTGCTGCTGGAGCTCTGGTCATCAGCAGCTGTGTGCTGGTGGGAATGCCTGTCACTTAATGAAGCACAAGGAAAGAAATGCAAAACCCCAGCATATGCTGTGGCTTTTGCATTCAGAGAAGAAAAGGAAAAAACTCTGAATCAGAAGTGATTTGTGTGTGAAAGGGAAGTTCAGTGTGGTCCAGCCCATGCTCTTTGCTTTACCCTCGTGCACAGAAAGGTGTCAAAGGGAGCCTGTGCAATCCAGGCTGTGTTCAAGGTGTGAGCATTGGTGCTGTTTGGGACTTTGATCCCCTCTCTCAGAAAGGATGCCTGGCTGAGTCTGGAGAGGAAATGCCTTTCACTTGGCAGTCATTGCCTTGAGCCTTCTCTGGGTGGTACTGGCCACATATAACTCTCTTGAGTGCCTCCTGAATCACTTCAGGCCAGCTCCTGCCAGGATGGCAGAGGAGCACGGATGACAAGAACTGAAACCTGCTGTGTTTCACTCTGCTGTCACATCACTGCTCCGTTGCCCTCCTCTGGTGCAGCACACATGGGGTTTGTCTGCCCCTTTTTCTGTTCAAGCAAATTGCTGTTGGGAAACCTCCTTTTGGGTTATTTTCTATTTTCACATGTACTGGCAAATACTGTTTTCACTCTTGTGATAGATGTCCTCCTTCCCTGAGAGCTGGGCTGTGTTAAAAATGTTCCATGGCTGCAGCTGCCCTGTATTGGGGGGCTGGCCCCCTCTTCCCTTTTTAATCTGCAGTGGAGGTTTTTCGTTATGTGAGTGAAGCACTGGGGCTTTAATGAAGGATGCTGCTTCCACACCATGTCAGGCATCGTTAGTGCAGATGCCGCTGGGACTTGTTGCTAAAGGAATGGGTTTGCCAGTGCCCAAATTAATCCAGGAGTCGCCTGGCTTCTGAGCACTCAAAGCCTAAATCTACTTGACAGCTTCTGGAGGGACAAATATGGTGTGGAAACATTTGATCTCTCAGCCAGCTAATAACTTGAAAACAATGTAAATCAGTGATTGTAAAATGCTCTGAGAGACAATTTATTTACATTTGCATCATAGAGCTTCAGTCCAGCTTGACTCTCAAAACAAGCTGCAGTTGCAAATAATGCATCTGTACTTTGTGTGGACATCTTCACCTCTCAGAGCCCGTTGGAAAGCCGGGTCACGTCCTCCTGGTGGCACAAACTGGGGTGACCCCAGTGCTGTGTGCACTGCTGACACAGGAAAGCTGGTGTGCAGTTTGGGGGGAGCAGTGGAGCAGTCTTATTTGTGCCACGTGTGCTCCTCCCGATGGAGCCACGTTCTGGGCAAGTGAACGAAAGCCTGTTCCTTGGGGCTTCAGCAGTGTGTAACATCTCCAGGACCAGGCACAAAGCTTCCTCTGCTCTCACAGCTTTGCCATAGGTACAGTTGCTCCTTCCCCTAAAACAGAACACATTGCCCCACTGGCTCGCTGAGCAGCATGCAGCTCTCAGCCCAAGTGCCAGCAAGCTCACTGTGAGCACACAGCAAATGAAAGCCGATTGCTAGGATAACTCACATAGCTCCAAGGGAGACCTCCACCTGGAGCTACCAGGTTTTGTTATTCATAATTTTCTCCGGAAATTCACTTTTACCCTGGAGCTGGATTACGGTGTGTTCCTTCCAAGGCAGCGGCTGCCTGCAGCAGCAGAGCAGTGTGCTCAGCCCATGCTGCTCTCACTGGGCAATGGAGGTGTTTGCAGAGCCTCAGCCCCTCCGAGCTTCTGAGTATTTGCATGAAAAATTACCACTGCTCTCTTTGCTTCTCTTCAGGCTCAAGCCGTAGGCTGCTGTCCCAAAGGAGCCCAATCAGATCCAGATGTCTCACCAGTTGTATGTTTTTTAATCTTTACCCCAACTTTACATAAGGCAGTATGTGATTTCTACATGCAGTCTCCACCGCCCAGAAATGAAAATACATCTCGAGCAAAAAGCAAGATATTCAAGGAGTGGAAATCCTCCCAGAGTGGAAAGAAGCACCAGATCTCAGGTTTCTCATCCCAGCCTCGGTGCCAGGAGCTGGGTGCAGCGGTGGCAGGGTCACTGGCACTTGGGATGATGGTTTGTTCTGCTGGGATTGGTGAACAGTGCACCCACCACCTCTTTGGGCACCTTGTGCCAGTGCCTCACTGCCCCTGTAACAAAAAAAAATTAGATCTGGGAAGATCAGGGCCAGCAAACCTGAGCTGGGGCTGAGGAGTAGCAGGGCCGTGTGGGTGAGGAGGAGGAAGGCTAACAGCAAGGCTCAGGAGCTGGTGCTGGGTGGAGGTGAGGAGCACAGGATGATGTATGGACACCAGAAGGAGTTCAAGTTTCAGAGCAATGATTGGTGGTGCAGGGTGACAGCCAGACGTGCTGTGTGTTGGTGTACAGCTCCCTGCAAAGGGCTCCTTGAGTCACTCCTGTGAACCGCCCTGCACCTACAGCAGAAAGAAAAGTCAGAAACAGTGCTTTTTGAAGGGAATGAATGGGCAAAGAAAGGCAGTGCTGTGTCCCAGTGAAGCTGCAGAGCTCTGTACCATTCCACTCTGTGTTTATGCACTGCTCCTTGGAGAATGGGAAAGCTGGAAGGGAGCGGAGGAGTTCAGGAAGTTCACAAGCAGAGTGTTTGTGTTGTTTCTGGCATGGAATTACCAACTGTGGGCGTCCCTTCGTGGTGCCATCCACCTCCCACAGCTACAACCAACCCCACTGCTCCCATTAAGGGTGGCTCAGTCGGTTCCCGGCACAGCAAGGCTTGTGCTGTGGGTTGGGGCCACAAGCAAGGTGCAGCCGGAGCCAGAATGAAGCTGATCAGTGTGGGGTGGAGTGCTGGAGGCAGCTGCTGCTGAAATGAGGCACAGTGCTCTGCCTGCTGCTCGGTGCCACGTGGGATCCCCACAGAGAGCCGCTGTCCTCAGCTTTGTGCACATCTGTGAGCACAGTCACTGATGTCCCTTTCCTGGGCAGAACACACTGCTGACGTCTCATTGTGGCTGTGCTAATGCTGTGCATTAATCCTGAAAGAGAAAGGGAAAAGAGAGAGAAGGGTTTGTGTCTTCTCCTGACTATGCAAAACCGAATGAAACAGGAGACTGAGGCTACAAATCCACCCTGTCCCAGTGCAGCCCAAAGATAAAAGCGTTAAAATGCTCTGTAATTAGAGCCAGCCTCAAAGAAGACATTTTATGACGGCAGTAGTCAGATGCTCAGCTCTTACACCCTATGGCACAGAATGAAAGAATGTAATTTTTCAGCAGTGCTGGGGTTCTCATTTGGCTCAGCAGCAGTTCAGAGTTATTTCTCCTTTTGTAAGAAATATGAACTGACTGTGAGATTCTGACTGCTCGGGTGGCACGGAAATATATTTAAATAATGGTATCTTCTGGTTCCTACACCTTTCAGCATAAGCACTGCCTTTTACAAAGAACCAAAGCAAAATGAAAGCATCAGTTATACACAGCATAGGCTCAAGAAGTTAATTAGAATGTAAGTGTTATTCTGAACAGTTACATCAGAGTTTGTTAGGTTGCTAAATGGCCCCCCAGGCCCTGATGGGCTTAGCCAGGAGCACACGAGCTCCTACCAGATTG